GGTTCAGCGCCCAGTAGTACTGTTTGACATGACGACCCTATGTTAAGAGGAGTTTCAATATCATGCTCATCTATGTCTATCGAGTTGGTGTGTGCTGTTTTCAGTGGAGAATTAAGCGTTGGAGTACTAGATATGCTATAGGCTAGGGCATTTTTATTTTTAGTTAAGCTGAAAACGTGGGTAGGGATCTTTATTTGACGTAAACTTGTGCATGTATCAGGTGTGCTTAATGGATGCGGGTGAACTAGACTGTTCCTATATTCATGCAAAGGGGGAGCCAGCACTAGCGATTTAGGAGTGTTAACATCCCTACCAGCTGTTATTTCAACGCTGACAGGGACGCAGGGGTTAAGAAATGATTAGGACTTTGTGGAGACCATGGTTTATTATTCCACCTATTGTTAGGTACTAGTTGTGTCCTTGCATGGGTTTCGTGTGCACTGCTTTTTGGATTAGTTCTCAGCAGACTTGTACCAAATATCCGATCAAAATTTATTTGTGTGCCATACTGCGGATACCCTGAGTTGTTGGTGGTCGAGTTCTGACTATTGCCACTTGTACAATTGAGGGTGGCATTGTTGTGACGTTGGTTATCGGTGTGGGCCATGTTGCTATTTCGCACGTTGTGGGTGCTAATACTATTGACCGTGGGGAGTGTGGGCTTATTTATACTGCCATTGTTGTTGTTGGCATGATTTGGGGTCATATTCTCCTTTTTTTACCAATGGACTTATGGACAGGAGAGGACAGGGCCGACTTTCGGGCGATTTTGACTTTTTTCCGGGATTATTTGGTGACATGTCTATATCTACGGTGATAGGCGGTATAGTTCTATTGGCTATTTGATTGCAATCTTGTGTAATTGCGGTTGGTGTGGCTCCCTGAGGATACAATTCTGTGTGGTTTGAGAGGGGTGGTGCGGTGGGTTCTACGGTGTCTCTCAAAGAGTTGGGTATAATTGCTGCTTGCAATGTCCTATTATTTATTCCGCAATCAGACTCAGTGAGATGATTATATACGCGCCTTTCTATGACTGTCTTGTTCGCTGCAACCTTTATTAGTTTGTAATTTCTGGCTTGCAATTGGGTGTGTTGGGAGTGGATGAATTCTCTGGCCTCTGCCGGTGTTTCGAACTGAAAACGAATAGGACAACACTTTTCATGTTGACTCTTCTTCAGCCTGTAGCACTTAGTCTTGGAGTTGGGCATTTTCGCCTCACTAAGTAAGATGCGCTGTACCCTTTTTAGTGCCTCATTGTCCGGAACGTTGTAGACAATAGCATTTAGTTTAGCATCGAGTCGTTTTGTTACTTCTGTAGTAACAAAGTTAATGAGGTTATCCACCTTAGTTACCGATTCTGTGTCAAGTTTGTTAAGGTTTACAGTTTTCATGAGGATAGTTGAAGGTGTCAGTTCACAGACCTGCGATCTGATATCACTGATCTGACCTGATAATTTGGATATTTTGATATTGGTTTCAGAAATTCCAGGATTTACTGACTTATTGTTTTTTATTTCCCTTAACTCGGCCTTAAGTTCTCCCATATACAACTTTATAAAATCTTTTTCTGAAGACAGTACTGAAACAGAGCTTGATGGCTGGAGTTTCTCGATAAGCACATAAGGTGTAGGGAGGGGTTCTGTATGAGAAGAGTGTACTGAATTTCTAGGAGTAGTGCTAATACTAGCTGACAGTGCAGTCTTATCCTCAGTTTCAGCTCGATGCTTGCGACATACAAGTGAGTCATGTGGCTCACTATGACCGTTTGTAGGGAGTGTGTTGCTTGATGTAGCAATCAAGGACGTAACATTAGTCATCAGATTTACAAGGGATTGATTTCGTTGCTTTTTACTTTGATCAACCACAATTATTTGCTATGAGAGTTAATGGTTATAGGTATGGAGGAAGTAGAGTACTTGTGCAAGGATTACAACAAAATAAGTTTTATGTAACGAATCACACAAAAGTGTAACGCAAACGTTGAACGTTGGTTTTATTTCAGCTTGAATATCGCATCTGTCGCATACTAAATTTTTGCTTTATGTATTGATTTCGATCTTTATGGAGATTGAATATTTACGCAAATCATTTTGTCCTTCTGCATGCTTTTTATTCTGACCGCATATATATGTTAGCAATGAGAGACTAAGTTTTTAGACTTTGGGCCTCTTAAATCTTAATGGTAGATTGCCTCAAAATTAAGTGTTTGCGTCACGAATACTCGAAGTATTTGTTAAAAGGAACAGTTATGCAGTGTCTTCACTATCTTCGATTAAAACACAACTCGATTCTGGACGATTTGATTTCATAACTTCTTTGCAAGTTATCAGTTCAGCGTCTATTTTAATGTATTTGGTGATTTCAGAATATGGCTGAAAGGAACGGTACGTGTGTGGGCAACATTATTTGGAATAAATTCAAAGATATAGATGAACTGCTGTCAATTAAACAGTAAAATCTTCACGGAAAAAAGGAAAGATTTTTGAACTGCAGCATGGAACTTGGTAGGAGATGGTATCCCCGAAATCAGAGAAATAGTTCTTTAGAAGGTCCTATACTTGGGTGTACCAGAAATTATCACTAACAGAAGCGAAGAATAGTGCTATGATAAGGTGGATATTATCAACAGCACACAATATTTATCATGTACTCGCTGACTAGCTGAACTTCGTTAAGATTGTCAATAAAAGACAGACTGGAACTTCGAAGATTTGTTGCTCAATTGACGTCAAAGCAATCTAGCAAATCTCGACCACCAATTTCACTGTTGGATAATATGAATACACTGAAAAAACTACAAATAAACATCAATACAATGATTATTAATACTTCCGATAGTTTTGCTCTGACTGCCAGCAAAGTTTAAGGCACGTAGGAAATTGTTGCCTTCAGAGAAAGTGAAACTAGTTCGGATAGACAAGGTCGCTGGACATTTCTTCATTCTTCACCAACCGTGATAGGGTCAATTACAGTCAGCTAAAGAATATAGCGACTCATCTACAAAGTCATCGCCTGAGTGTGAGAGCTGTGTTATTGGAAGAGTCCGATTAGCTACAATACGTGGAAGCTTAGACACTTTGCACTTTGTGAAGTTTGAAACAAATGTGGTGCAATCGGCTCTCATAAGAATGAAATAATCCCAACAATATACCCTGCTTTAAGATCATTACGTTATCCATCAAGGTAAACCACGGAGGGTAACACGTCAGACTTATGGCTGCCCCAACTGCATACCATCTAAGTTTTGCGCGCCTGGAGCTCTTTATCAGCAGCAGTAAGTACTGGCACTTCGGTCGGATGCTCTCAACGGATTCTTAGTAATCCTGCAGAAACTCGTGAGCTGCGTTCAGTAGACCACCTCGTCCATCAAAATAAGATTCAACACACAGCCTGCACTTTAATCGATGAGTTCTTAGCTGAACTGGTCCTTGACATTCGCAAATTATACCCTGCCCAATTTTTATACTTATACGGATGAATTCATTCGTTTATTTATTTAAGTTTTGATCACCCACATAAATGTTTGTTCTTTTTCCTTTTTAAATTCACAAATTTGAAGTTGGTCGCTTTTTGACCACACTATATTTTATATTTATATTTTTTTATATTTTTGATTACAGCTTGATGCCATACCGTATTTTCAGTACAAGTATGGAATTTTCAGCATGGATATCGGTAGCCCAAATTTCGCAGGCCGACCATAGATATCGGGTGTGCGTCAGTAGGGGTTCGAACCCCGGACCATGTGCATGGTCGGCGAGAGTTCTAACCACTCTGCCACCACTACATGATCAGTGGGTGAAAGGACACTATTAATGGGTGTACACCTGAACTTGTCCTTTTTACCTGTTTATATTCCTCCTTGTCGTAATGTTCTGATTACTCCAACTGTTACATTCATTCCACTTATATTATCATTGATATATATTTACACTATATTAGCCATATATATCAATTTCAAATCTCATTTGCTATGTTTTTTCGTTTCCTTTCTTTTTTCTTTTTAAGTCCACGTATTCCACATTAATTTTATCTGTTATTGTCATTATTTTTATCTCTCTTTCCGACCATATCGGACGACTAACGGGTGAAAGGATGAACTTCATTCACATAAGTGACACGATCTTAACAAACTGTATAACACAAACCACATATAATCAACCCCAGCAGCACTCCTCTGGGAGTCACTTAAACTACGACAGTTGAGTGGCGGAACTAACAGTGCAGAAATTTACCGAAGACCAGCAGGCTTTGAGTTTTAACCAAGTAGCGAGCACAAAGAAGTCAAGCCGGTATACAATGGATTGTAAAAAGGGTACTGGATATTGGACTAGCGCCAATCCCAATAGCGTTGTCGTCATAACACACTGTATACTAAGTGAAACATAACCAGTCTTCTATATCTCTCCCCTCGGGATCATCAAGGGATATAATATACTAGTAGCAGTACGAAATACACAGAAGATCTGGAAGAATTACCTCACTACCAGGAACCGACTGCGAAAAAATTATCTCGGTCGATACTATCCCGTAGATATAATGCACTTAAGCTGTAGCCTAACTAAGTCTGAAATGTAAACATATAGTTTTACTGCATATCTGTGATGTCTGTTTACAAATTTTTTAGACTGTATGGAAGCTGCTAGGGCGAAATTTGCTCCTAATTCTAAGCAGGTTCACCATCGTGGTACCTTTCTCCCTTTTACCGCCTTCAGTGAACCTACAGTAGTCGAAAAGATGATGTGTTATTGGGAGAAGAGGTAGAACAGTTACGATACGGCCATGGATCTAAGGGGTTAGTGCCATCCTTTCACAAACATATTTGCTTGCATATTGGCTCTTTGTACTGTTTTCTTTTTTGTAGTTCAGATTTGTATTCTCAAGGTCGTCAGTCGGACTGCTGTTTGTTGTTTGGTAGGGAAATGAACTAGTGCGGAATTCCTAAGATCTCTGTGTGTATTTGAACCTAGGCTTTTTTATATCATAACCTGGAAGAGCAGATGAGATGTCCACAGACATGTGGTCGCACTAATCATACGAATATTGGTCGAGGTATTCACTTAAAGTTTGGTAGTTGTCAGCAACAAATACGTAACATCTACAGATTTCTGCAGCTTTATTCACGTTTAGATGTGTAAGTAATAATAATGGCATTCTTTCTGATTGATTCACAGTAAAAATAAATGTAACTGTAATAATGAAAGTATCCAGGCTTTCATCCATAAGACCAATAAAATGTTGAACGAAGATTTGGAAAGTTCACTTATGAAGGAAGTAGAAGATGTCCTGAGTAAAGCACACATAACTCTTTTACCACAACAAGCTCAAGAAAAATCTGTCCTCTTATTAAAATCTGAGAAGTCCATGTTGAAGTCAGAGCGCAGAAGAACCACCTGTGAAAGCAAAACTCAGAGAGAGATTAATACGACTGTAGTAAAACAGAAAAAGTGTGTCCCTGTACATATGAAGGCTCCGTACAAAGCTGATATTTTGTCAAAACGGTAATTAAATGTATTCATGTCTTGATATGCTAATACCTATTTATTATACAGCCAGCCAGTTAAACCGTTCAGAAAAGCGGAAAAATATGTTGGTGAAAGTAAAGAACATGAAATCGTGGAATGTAGTGAACACAAAAAGTCTGTTCAGCAAGAGTATGCTCAGAACATATGCGTTTACTCGTTAACTTCATTTTTAAAGGCACCTTGTAATTTACTCACATGTAGTGTGCACTTGCAGTCAGATTCAGACAGCAGCGTTGGTTAAGCAGGTGGACAAGGATTTTCATCGTCTGCGGACTTTAGTCCTGAGAACAGAGCAGTTAGCAAGATGGGAAGATGGAGGAATTCTGTTGAAGTTATATCGAAAAGTAAGTATTTCGCGTGTATGATATTCATTGTGTTTACTACACGGAATGCTATTCTTTGACCACATGTATATATGTCGTGTTAAACCTTTGTGTAGCAATTGTTTACGATGTTAATAGTAAATGTGGCAGTTGATTACGATTATTATTTCAACGGCTGTTAGCACACAATGATAAGTTTTTGATTTTCGTGATATTTTGAGCAAGATTGCTGCCCATGATCTCAACAATTCGTAGAATTATTTTCAATCCCTAGAACTAAAAACAATTCCAAATCCTTATTTCCAATCACATTCCATCACAAAGTGAAATCATTTGACGAAATCAACTAAGTCCCTACAAACCAACACTCCTCTTGTTTTGAAATTAATATTGAGCAAAAACAAAGTTGTAAAAGACGCTCATCGTAGTCGATTTGTCGGCACGCAACTCCATAGACACCCGGAATATACTTTTCGGTCTAGCTTAACTGTACTACTCAAGCATGAAAGTCAACTGTCAGGATAACTTTCTGCACTTCTGGCTTTCTACCAGCAAACTGACAGATCCTTTACATCATCCGAACTGTTGTTGCCTAAGTGGACATTATGAAAAGATATCGGTGAGCATCACTATACTTACTTTACTTTACTTCGGCTATCTCCTACGGGAGGATGAGCCGGCTTCATGAACATCTCGAATCATCGCTGCCCAGGCGCGGCGATCTGATGAAGAGAGTTCACGAAGTTTCATGGGAATTTGGTACGAGTGATGTCCCCAGAATCGCTCGGCCTTTTGTTTGAGAGTGCAGCTCTAGCCTTTACACAACCAAGTGTGACCTACAAGGCAGTAGGAGTGGAGTAGGGAGTCCACTATCCATTAGCAGCCGCTGACCGGAGTTCAGTTCAGACGCCTTTTTGAATGGGGCCAGACATCCAGGACATCCAACAAGCCCTTTGTCCATACGTCTGCCGGTGAGCTCCAGTGAGCTTCATACGCCAGTCGTTGGAGGTTTGGAGTCAGGGTTTAGCCATCTCCCCTAGACTGTCATCCAATGGACAGTCAAACCGGTGAAGAGCGCCGGGCATCCGCTTTCATCCTCTCACTTTGGTGAAAAACACCTCCGCCACGTGAAGGCAGTGAGTAGGACTTCCTCAGGAGAGGCTATGTAAGACGCCCGGTCATATGGGAACATTTCAAGAGGTGTGCGGAGTGGTGGCCAACCCGCAGCGCAAGGCACCCACTCCCGACCATCCTGAGGCTTTGGAGGCATCACTATCCTTCCTTATTATCACTCTTTAGCTTAAGTCATCGTTTCCGGACTGTGGCTGCCACATTCGAGACCTCCACCTACTTCAGCCTGAGTGACAGTGTAGTATCATTAGCTTTCACCCAATAAATATGACTCGCGGTTTAGTACATGAGTAATCTTCCGAGTTGCTGGATTCTGACTCATTCTTCTGAACCCATTACGCCGGACAACAGACAAATGACTGCCCATTTGGATACAATCAAGTATTGATTTTTCTATCCTGGAGCTCAGTGCTATCCCAAGGTCATTAGGCCTCAGAGAACAGACTTTATGACATTTGTGGGTTGAATTTTTCAGATGCACTCTGTTTTTTGAATGGGAGTAAGTCTTTCATTAAACCCGTGTTTTTGTGTGCATTTCAGGGATACAACGCACATCGAAACCATGAGATGCTGGAGTTTTGCCTATTAAGACTTGCTATCAAGTTGTGTATAAGATTTAGACATAGGAATCTCTAGTATGAAGTTGTTAGTTTAGTCCTAAAAGAATAAGGACAGTGTTCTTGTGACTCAAGTGGTTAGCACTTACGAGAGGAAATGACGGAGAGGAAGCAGAAAGATGGTCTTATGAGCACAAGTACTTCATGTGCTTAGTGGAGCTTTTGACTGCCAACTGTGAGTTTGTCTCGCGACTACACTTGACACTTGACAACAAAACACTAAGTGCAGTTGTTTGAGGCTGTTCCGCCAACCTGTACTGAGTTTGTTCTAGAATGCAAAAAATAATCCCCATTATTTAATCTGCTACTAACTAGCGTCCATTGACAATATAAACGATCATCCAGCTAGCACTACGGTAAGTGTTGGGTGCACTTGGACATGAGAACTCATCTTGCAGCAGAACTCGTTCGGGCTACATTCCAACTATACGTAGGAGAATAGTAAGAGAAGACAGCACACAAGCAATGATTAAGGGGGATTCAGTTGAATAATGCGGTTTCTATTTTATTGCTTAATAAGGTGCTGACACTAAGGTGGACTCTGATTAATGCTTAATCTCTGAAATAAAACACTCTTGGAGATGATATAGGTAGGAAGTATTTTATCACTTAAATAGAATCAGGTAGACAGTTCATTAATATACAGCAAATATTGGTAATTAACTAGTGTCCAATCAAAGTATCTACTACATCCCTACAGGAGGTCAATCACGAGCTCAGTGGTAACGTCTCTGACTGCAGCACTGGGTGATGCGGGTTCGAATCTCAGAAGGGACATTAGTTCCTTCAAGGTTGCAGATACACCTTGCTGAGTAGTGCCAACTAGCACGAAACCTCTGTCCAAGGCTTCCTGCCTCCTATCACCTAATATCGTCAAATCAATGTGCACCGTGATGATGAGCTACCTAGAATGGTGACTTAATTGCAAACCTGACGGATACAGTTCAGTCTGCAACAAAAAAGGACTAGATACATCACACTAGTGTCCAATCAAAATTACAAATTAATATTTCTAGGGATTTGACCGAATTCATCTTTTGTCCGATTTGCATCAAACTGCTGCAGCCATAGGCAGCAGGTGTTGGTTGGAATAATGCTGTTAAGATAAATGTGTTTCATTATCCTACTAGAGGAGAATTCTGTGGATGACACACACAGAACACGATCTCAGTTAAAAAAATAAATATCTGAGATATGTAAAAATGGTGGAAAGAAGAGACAGTCCAAACAACAGTAGAAATGTACCGAGAATAGAGAATGAATTTCATTACACCGGTGAAGTTCAGCTTCTCATTTATTCACTAGAAAAGCAACCTGAATCCACAGTAAATTGCAAAGTAATACTAACTACTCGCATTTTAATTTTGTCCTCAGGCTATAACTGCATTTAAGGCTAGCGTACATTTTCCCACCCAGAAGTGCATCTTTGCCGGAGGTTTACTTGACAAATTCTTCAGTTTTGTACAGTTCATCGGTAAGTGATATTTGTTTCTGCACGAATTATAGTCGTGGCTGTAATATACAAATTCATTTCAGTAATTGAACATTTCTGTCGCCTGCTGATTTTCCAAGTGTCAGGTTTCGTTCTGTACCTTATTTTATTTTCAATTTCCACAATACCATCTGAGTGTGAGAAATATTTTCTTAGAAATACTTATTTGGAAAAGTTTGAAACAAATATACGTCGGATATTCGTTTGATAGTTGGCGGCAGTATATTCTAGAAAGCATGTTTCATCTTCCTAGTGGCCCATCAGCTGGATGAAACTGCATCCAACTGAAACGAACTTATCTGTCGAAGTGCCAGAGAGTTTACCATATCAGTTGAGTTGTTCATTGCGCCTGTATTATTATACCCACACATAAGTTTACTCAACCATATAAACTGTCGACCACATCACATCAGTTGACGATAGGTACATGAAAAATTGGCGACAAGTTCATTCCAACTGGCGACATATACCATAACAGCCATTACTTGAGGAAATGAAACCTTCTTCTACATTTAGGTAAAACTCGAGAAAGTTTTTCATGTTATCATCTGAGAGGGACCATTGCTTCCGTAGACAATAATAAATAACCTAATTTATCCTTATACAGGACTACGGCGTAGGACATAAGATCGACCACCTGTAACAAAACTGACCGACTCGTTCCAACGTTGAACTTTACACAGACATGCAGCAGTTCAAGTTACCACTGTCCCCTCATGTAACACACAAAGCAAGAGGAGAGAGTAAAGAACAACTAAACACAAAAAAGATAATAAAAAGAGATATAACGTAAAAGAATAGTTATATAGAACAACAACAAAATTCCATTGGATATTCTAAATCAGCCACTGAGAACGATTTTGAGCCATATCACCAATTGTCTCCAGCCACTGGCTTTTACCATTCTGAGGACCCCAACCAGGATGTCTACACTTTACTACGTGGCTTAAACTAACTGTTGTGAATTTCACCGACTGATGCCATGTTTTCGTTTGACCACCACACTAGTTCTTTTCCAACCTGGACCTATGGCAACTAACATTACCCCTCGAGGAAGGCGATGCCTAGGCATACGTAACACATGTCTTAACCATCTCGATCAGTGTAACTTCACAGCCTCGTCGATTGGTTTCCCCTCCTACCTAGCAATCGACCGATGCCTCATCTCAATATTGCTCACCTTATTATACCACTTAACACGGGAGATAGAATGCAGATACCTATGATCAAAGGCAGCTAGCCACCCTTTTCATGTCTTCCACTTTCAATGGCAAGCATGTTTCACAGCCATAAAGGAGGATGAAGAGGACTGCAGAGCAGTATACACGTCCTTCGATTAATAGTTGCATATCACGTCTACACCAAAGATGGCGTAAACTGGCGGATGCCAAACGAGCCTTCTGGATACGTGCTGAGATTTCGTCAGCAATTAGCCTATTGGGGCTGGCCGATGCAACTTCCCAAACAAGTGAAGTGGTCAACACGCTCTACCACTTCATTCCCTATTTTTAAGCTAGGCGTCGATGCAGTCTTGTAGAATCGTCTTACGTTTCACAGGAGCGAATCGCGTGTCAAACATTCGAAGATTGCTGCTCAAGATGTTCAGAAGACTCTGCATTTCGCCAGCGTCTTCACCCAGGTGGAATGACTATATCATCTGAATATTCTAAGTGAACGAGATTATACCCTGGTAACAGACAAGTCAATCTATTAGTCTCTGAATTCAGTTAGGGTTGAGTCCAGCAGTACATCTATGATGAAATTAAACAGAAATGGGGAGCCCTGACAGTCACCACTGGTTGTCAGATTAAGTTAGTGCTGGACTAGGAGCAGATGATTATCTGAACAGAACTTTAGAAGACGATCACCACTGTCGGTTCGTCGGCAGGGAACTCCAGACGTAGCACCTTCATACTTCTCAGTCTGGTATAACTTCCCTACTAGGGCATTGAAGTCGCCTGCTAAAACAACTATATCTGAGCGTCGTGCTTTTCGCAGCAAACAAGACAGTTTCAGGTAGAAGTCGTCCTTTAGTTCGTCCAAACTGCATTCGGTTGGGGCGTAAGCTGAGGCTATGAAAAGACAATGATGGCTAACGCCGTCCTTCCTTCTTCTAACGGACCCGTTCAGACGGACCGCACACATACGACTAACTTCTGGGATCCAGTCAAGGAGGGATTTTTCTGCCCCAACACTCAATGCCATCCATACTCCTGCGAGTCCTCGGGAACTAGCTGAGGAATCTCCTGACACCCTTAGGGTAAATCTTGCAGATCCACCTTGTTGGCCGGGTGGGGTTAAGCGAATGACCACATTCGGGTCTTGTATGCGTGTCTCCGGAACACAACAAACATCCATGGCTCGAGATGCCAGAGTTCTTTCTAGTGATGCCCGTTGTCCGGTTTGACAGAGGGTCCTGACGTTGAATGCTCCAATATGAAGTTGGTTTGGTGGCTTTAAGAGGCTGTCAGGCGTGTTTCTATGGCTCTCGTCGTTGTTTGTGGTCACAGAGTGAAGTGAAGATGACTCACTAGCCTGCACAATAGTATTAACAGCAGGAGGAAATCGAGATGATGAGGGTGACGGGGTAAACGAGAATGCTGATCAGCAGAGCTTCGTTTGCTTTTAGAAGTGTGTAGGCGGTTGCTACTTCCCGTCTGCCCACACTGTGAAAGTTGATTGATTCTTGGGGTACCTGAAACAGAAGGAGAATTAGTGTTGCTAACCGCAGAGCCCAAGGGACAACTGCTTGAGGCCGGTCACACACCCCCTGTATGGACTGATTCCGTACTGGTAATTTAATGTCGGTCACGGGCCACCGCAGGGAAAGTCAGGATGTACAAGTTTTGGGGTCGAACTTTTGTAACTCCCCCTCTTTAGATTGGAGAGACAGCATAGATTGCATGCTGGTCATCTAAGGGAAATACCTTACTCTGTTACATTCCTCTTCCCCAGCAGTAATTCTTTGCCCACAAACCCTCAGCATAATGTTTTAAAAAATCTTAAACTATGCCGGTAACTGCTCTTAGTCTAATCGCTATGTTGACAATCTTCCTGGTATGGTAGGACCTGCAGGAACATTAGTCACAGCTAATGTAGCTTGTTGGGTCACTACGATACGCAAGCCCGACCACCACGTCAGGAAAGCAGGTATATTGTTCGGGTGTGGTAAGCATATACCCCATGAGTAAAGCAGTTTTGAAAAATTGTGTCAGTCCGTATATGTGATAGTTGTTACATTCAGTTACACGCTTTTAAGAGTTGATTTAACCAACATCGGCCTAAGGAAACATGAACTATCGTTAATTCTAAGATAATAATTGAGATTCGTAGGCTAACACGTATTAAACCATCACCGAACTACTTATTTGCTTAAGTTTATTTGAGTTCATTCATGAAATCAGAATTGCGTAATCAAGGGTAAAACTTTTAGCTTCATCTTTAAAACTTACGTTCAGATACACGGATTGGGAACCCGGATGAAATATGTTGGATACAGAGTGTCTTATCAAGATTTATCCATCTGTTGAATACGTTAAAGTTAATTTTCTCAAGAGTGGATTGTGGGTCAATGAATACACGCTTATCGTCAAAATATGCTGATCATGATTCATCCGCTGAAGATGATCCTGTAAGTGCCTGGTTTGCTTCAAGACAACCAGTTAAATCATTTGTTCCCCCAAATGCATATGAAGCCTACATGACAATAGGTAACTAAATTTTTTTGTTTTTAACCTTCATTCATTTTTTGAAATCCAATTCAAGTGTCTCATAAACTATATTGTGCTCTTATCATTGTTGACAATTATTATTCAAAGTCCCTTCAAATAAGTGATTTCGAACTCCGTATCACTTGCTTTATTCGGACTTATCACTTGTCATCCCTGATCACAGACTGTCATATTTCAGCGAATTGGAATGTCTGATATGAAAATAACATCTTACAAGTTTCCATTATGCTTAATTGCAATATTTTCTGCTAGTTCATCTGCTCTGAAGAATTTTCTTGTCTCCGTTCAAATAAGTGAGTTACTCAATCTTTTCACTTCCATACCATAAGTTCATGATATCCAAAGTGTCCAAAATGGGGGATAAAACGTGACGTAATTTAGTCCAAATTGTCATGTTCGGTCTCAGCATATCAGTTAGCAAAAAGAACAGATTGAAAGTCGCAGAAAAACCAGTGGAATAGAAAAAAGTGATAAGTATGTAGAAGTAATATTTTCATAATTAAGATAAAGATGAGTTTAGCTACATATCTGACTTTCTGACTGTTAACTCACTACCTGCAAGGAAGTTGCTTGTCTCAAAGTTCTCGGACGATATGGCCTGTACTAAGTAAACAAACTGAAAAATGAAATATTTCTTGAGTACTTTAAACTGAAATGTAAAGATTTTTGGTGTTTTTGCCGTCTATTAAATATAAGGTAATAATACAAGACTGGTGCGTACAAACCCGTTTAATTGTTTAAAAATAGGATATGAATTAGTCAAACGCACTGATTACCTCAACATTCAGCGAGTTTTATGGGGCACAATTGATTTATTTTCGAGTGGATCTTTGCACGACACTAGCTGAGTTTCACCTCTGGCTGTGACTTTACTGCACGTGATTATATTTTGAACTACTCTCTAGCTGTGGCATATGGATGAAAACAATGTAGAGCTGTAAAGTCTTTGATTGATGCTTTGAGTTATATAAGTTACTAGGATATTAAGAGTACGTTTTCGGAGTGAGTGCTATCACTATTGTTTATCTAATTATTCTATATTCCTATCCACTCCTATTTCTGTTTACTTCATTTTATGCCAAGTTTTGGATTTTTTTATGTATGTCTGATTTAGGTGCAGCTGCACTACCATTATCAATTTTGAATCTTCCAGTCGGACAGAAATAGGCGAAGAATGGTTAAAATGGGTAGACTTTGGCAAATGGTAAAAACAATAATACAACGGGCAAATCCTCATTGAGAAATGGTCAAAATGGGGAAGTAGTGGTTAGGTGATGAAAAATATTGGTTATATTTCAGTATAAATAGAAAAAATCATGCCACACAAGCAAAATTCATCCACTTTTCCTTACTACTGACCATGCTGACATTTTTTCGACTTGAATCTGTTTCTCTTAAAATGACAGCACTTCCGTAGATGTTGTTTTTCAAAACATGTCTCAGTAAGTTAGAGGTTCATAAATTCAACTGTTTCGTGTCAGTCAAGATAAAGCGGCCGAAGACTTTCTAGTTACTTCAAAATAGTTTTTTTTCAAGTGAAAATTGTTTGATTATAGCAAATAATCGAAATGAGGGACATGAAATTGGAAAGCTCAGGGATTAAGTGCTACAAGTTATTTGAAAGTCTGTTTTAAGTGTTAGTACGTCCTAGTGAATCATCCGCAAGCTTGTTACGTCCTTACTTAGAAATGAAACTGCATTAAAGATAATTGTAGTAGAAAGCCAGCTGTTTTCTTAGCTGCATGAAACATTACGGTTGTTTGCTGATAACCCGTCAGTGATCTACTTTGCATTTTAGGGAGATGCTCGAGTAAATCAAGAATATCCCGTTTATCAGCACTGAAGCTGTACCCATATTTGTGTGTATTCAAAGGTAATAAGAAGGAAATACATATGTTTACAAACCTTTGGAGTGAACTTGAATGCATTCAAGTTGATCTTGAGTTTCTCAATACTTTCAAGTCAAATCTCCCAGAATTACTTGCTGATCTATTTGACAATACTGAGTAAGTTCGTGCAATGTGATCACTTCTAGTTTTTGTAGTCAGCGTATTTAGACTTGTTTTACTAGTGAATCTATTATAGTAATTTATCTGTACAACGGAGATATAAAGAAAATCTGACTGTTGCTGAAGTATAGTGTTGCAATACAATTCAGAGAACGTGACAGCACAAAATTGTGAGTTTACATACACACAGTAATTGCAAAGAAATCTGCTGACATCGAAGTGTGTTGAGCTTTTGTCTCTAAATAGTACGAGGATTTTTGCTTTACGGGTATGGCACATAGGATTTTTTTTTATATATTAACACTTATTATCGGTAGCCCTAGTCGTTTTGGAAGCTGACCATACACTGCAAAACAAATAAACAATTGCGACCATTCCCTCCCCTATGTTACGGAGTAATCGTAAAATCTTCAGTGATAGTGGCACTTACTTCAAGCAGGTATCACTAAGATGTCTTGTTGACATATCAATTGTTTCTGTTAGTTACATCTACTTGTCTCATCACACATATGTTTATCGAGAAGCTTACTTGACATGACAAATGGTCTGCTTTCCAGATGAAATTAAATCAAGTTACAAACGGATAGATGAAATTTTACTTCACCTCTAACCTTTCCCTCAATAATGCATAAATAGTGTGTTAGCTTGGTAATTACTATAGCAGGATTTATTTTCCGTTAAGTAGTTTCGGCATCCTGTATTTCGGATGAAGACTTAAACAATTCTGTTCCGAGTTGGTCTGCCGAATGTTATTTTTTCTGTGACCCGTAGAAAACTAATAAAGTGTATACCCTACAATTTTTAGTATTGACAGATATCTACAACTAAAGACCATAAAAGACATTAATATTATCCAACTTTTAGTTTTCATTCTTTACAGCGTATGCAATTTTCCAATATCGTAATCAGGAGGTGGTTTTCTTTTTCAGGAATCGTGCATCGGCTTTCCGTGATTTGTACTCACTTGTCTGTGAAAGTAGTCCTTCAGTTTTGAAAAGTAACTTATGTTAAACTCATATTTCTTTTATCCCAACAGTTTGTACATTTTTATAATATAATATGATTTTTTATGTGAGCTTTTCGAATAATATGCCAGATATGATTTGCGATTCCACTAGACTCACCTATATATGTAAAATTGCGTTCCCCAGTTGAAACCAAATAAGCACACTTACAAATGGCAAACATGCCTGGTTAAATCACTGAGCTACCTAAATTTTCATCCATTAAAATGCATTGTGTTTATTCGGTTTCGTACTAGCGATCTAATTACCATAATTAACCAAAAGTCGTGCTCGCTTACTATTTCAAATAAGTTTCTAACTACCACTAGCAATTTTTCGAAGAACCTGTGAAGTAGTACTCGAGCAAGCTTTTAGCGGAACAATATTGCTTCAGCTGATATATTATCGGTTAATATATAATTTGAAGATTCTGCACAAGGACAGAGTGCCTTGCAACGAAACTCGCTGAAAATTCTGTATTGTGTATAAACGCACTTTTCAGAATAAAGCCAGTATTATTAATAAGCTACCACAGAGTTCATGAAAGTAACGCTGAAACCACATTACTTGTGTAACTAGAAAATGCTAAGAAATCCTTATATTTTGTGTGACGACTGCCTTATCTTAGTGATCTAAACTATTTTTCTAGACTATTTAATGAATGTATCTCATTATTTTGATTTGTACTGAGGTTATTTGAACTTGAAAATAATTTGCAACTTTGTTGTATGCGTTTTCAACACTTTATACTGAAGCACAACCATTTAGACTACATAGGATAATACTACAAATCTGTCTGACGGTAAAGTTAGTTGACCAGTTGTTGCGTGCAGTGGAATATTTATGAATATTATTATTCATTTTCATCATTATAAATTATTTACGAATCTTTTACTATTATACTGTTTCTTCACTAATGGGTTTGATGTTAAGTTTTTTGCCTGGACATATTTATGTGGTAACATAAACATTGAAGCGCAGCACTACATTCCTAAAAGTAAAAGCAAACACTTGCTAATAAAGCTATTTGCTGTGATATATTCATTTCATCAAAATAACTTTATCTGAAGGTTCCACTTCAAGCCCTTTCAACGCAAGAAGTAGTACAGACAGATAAATGCTAGTGGTCATTTGCTCCGAACAACAAGGACCTTGTTACGCTTATTTGTCTTCATTTTTTGTACAGACGGTTGATACTGAATGTTGACTGATATAAATCAGTTCCACAACCGATGTGATTTTAAAGGCAAACACTATGTTATTTCCAATAAACAACTGAGTACCAAAATGCAATAGCAACATACGTAAAGAAGAGGTGTAACATGGCATAGTCTAAGTATATTCAGAATGTAATGAGAATTTACTTTATTTTAGTAAATAATCTTAATAGTGTTCCGTAAACGAAAATAGTTTGATAAAGTATGAAAATCAGTACAAGAAGTTAATGTTCGCAACAAAGCAATCATTATTGTTAAACATTATGTAGCATCATTATTTTATGATGAGAACGCATAGTTTCTGAATCCACTTATTTTAAGAAATCCTGAAAATATGTTAAGCAGTTAATTTTTTTCGAAAAGTTGTGTGCACGCAACTTCAGTTAATTTAGAAAGGTTTGAATTGTTACGAAAGTTTATCACTGAATTTAGTTCAGAGGATTTATCCTTGGTACTTGAAAACATGCTTCATTAACTCTTGGAGGTTTTCTTTTTTGACGGCACTTTATCAACTTGGGAATATTTTTTGGAGTCTTTTCGTGACATTGTTACTCGATTACGACAACCTTTACCTCCTTCCCAGTGGGATGACCGAGATCCTGACAATGTTTTTCCGCATCTTATACACGGTTTGACAGCCGAAAAACGTTGTTCTTTTGAACAAAAACCACAGATCATACGAGTGGCCAGTTCCATTTCGTGCCCATCAACGGCAGAGTTGTCATGACAAACATCACACGGTTCAAGACGTCCACAACACGGAAACCTTTCAGAAGACAAAATTCAAGTATGATTTATGGAGTAAATAATTGTGACTAAGAAGTGTGACGCAATATTTCACGTCGTCTAATATTGGAAATATTAAGAGGAAATACAGGTGTTCTATTGATTTACTTTCTGATACTAATAATAATTTCAGCGCTTCACAAGATAAAATAAATCTTCAGCTAGTCACCTAATTATATAGAATAAAATAATATATGACAGACTGACTGAGTTTCACTTGTGAGTCATCTTTTTCTAAATACGTTGCAATAGTAATGATGTCACTGGAATTAGTGTGTTCATTACTACTGTTATGATTGGTTACTCAGCTACTATTCCAATACTGAGAAGACACAGAAGGCTATTTGAGAAGGCAAAGATTTCATGCAAAAGGCCAAACAACTAGAAATTACAATCACTTAAATAGTTATTTTACAACACAATATAAAATCCTCGATGAAATCTCCCCAGGCCTGAGTGCTAGGTAACACTACACTTTGTGTGGATTTCTAAGAAATCCGGGGCGATTGTTGCAACCGATTAATTAAGTCAAACGTTTGAGTTACTCGTAAAATCCAAAAACACAGAATGTGCCCAGAAATACAATACATATGGAAATAAATAGAGTGTACAAAGCCTAAATTGCTACGGTTATAGGTTGAAAGCCGTCAAAAGTATATTCACTTCGCGTTAAAGAGAAAAAGAGTGAAGAACGGCCAGTAATAAACACGCGAATAGACGAAACAGGAACAAAGGGATTCCAATAAACGACGTTCAATAGAGAGTGGGACGTAAAAAAGAAATGTACAGCAGATGCCGTTTAACCAAGAATGTCTATACATTATATGGCATAAATTACAATCGAAATGCATGACTATGGTTACTGATCACCTCCTTGTTATATAAAGGATAAACTCTTACTACTTGCAAATGGTAAGTAATATACAGCTAAACAAATGAAACAGTAATAGGGAATAGTTAGAAAGGACTATACCCAATGGACTTACCTCAGCCACCGATAGCTTTTGCGATAATGTTTGCAAGTACCGTAGGCCGGTAAGGGTGAACCATCTTGAATAAGTGCGTTCTGAGCCGAATTCAATGCACGGCGCAGTCTTCGAGAGGCTTTTTGGTCCTCAGAAAGTTCACCTGTTTTCGAAATCCCCGCTATAAAACATGGATACAATAAAGAAATTTGCCGCTGGTTGGTTTCAAGCACGAACTATTAGGTACTGCATGATGACAAATACTAGTTACTTATGTAGTGTGCTGGTTTATATTCAAACATCATTTTACTTTCCTAATAAATACTTATTTGGCACGCATAAGCGACTGCTTACTTATTGGCGAAAGTATTATTGATATACGAATGAAACTTGTGCACTGTGGTAGAGCATAATTCTATTGTGGGTAAAATTAATTCTGATAAAGTCTTACAGTGCTATACAGTAATATTTACTGATGACGGTCCCAGAAAATCACATCAATAGTGGAATATGGTGGGATTATCAAAGTAAACTGACAGAAACAGCTAATCATAGGTCGGTAGTAATTAAGTCACCTGCCTCTACACTAAACTTAGTGCTGAACTTACGTAATTCATATCACTATGCATTTTACTTGAAATCCTTTATTAAACTGTTGTTTTTAGTTTACGATAATTTCTGTTCCTTGTTACGTCATTGTATATGTTTTTTTCGAAGTGAGCCAACTTGAATTGGCACTTCTTCTTGTAGAGTAGTTGTACACTACTTCGTCAGTGGCAGAAGTTATCTAATGGATATGGTATCTTATGCATGAGGAACGATCACTGTACAACATAACCTATTAAAATGTTTAGAATTCAAAATTTCATTCCGTGAAGTTATTAACTATTGAATAGGTAAATGCAGAGAGGCAGTCCTTCGTAGAAAGGTCTTCAAGATGGAGAATCATGGTTTGTTGTCTCGGAAACAAAGATATACGATGCTAACATAAAATTCGCTGTATCTCTTCAAGTGAATTTCTAATATTTTCGAATTAATACACTCCTTTTGGGAATTTTACATTGTTATGTCTAACACTACAGAACACACACCTGGTCACAAGAAATGTGTGATGCTACATAGTGAATACAAATAAAAGTTGGAATCGCGTAGAAGCAGACAGCCTTATATAACTACTAAAGGCATAAGCCTTTTAGAATCGGGAAAAATGAGATTAGAACGCTTTCTTATCACTTTGCTTACACAAAACATAAGATTAACTTACCACTTGGTTGTTTTATTAATTCCAAACAAAATTTGCTAAATTCTAGTCCAACTATGGAATGACACTTAAAACAACGCCTCGTATGGGGATGATCGAATCCAAGACTCTATCAGAAAAATATAAATAGTGAGTTTATGCAAAATGTTAGTCTCATTGTGTAGAAATGAAGCTATTGAGATACTAAAAGTGAAAGTGAACAACTGGGTTGTGTGAGGACATAACTTAAGAATATAGGTAAAAATATTAGAAACTGGGTGCTTATTGAATCGATAAGCTTCAATATAGATGCATATAAGGCAACCAACAACCAAACTTTCTGAAACCTCTGGTAAATTTTCTAAGCAAAGTGCATTTGAGGAACTCAAGACTCTACTACCGCTGAGGAAGAACAATTTGATTTTTCATCCGAACACAAAATACTATTTCCAAAATAGCGCCCTCAGTTTGCAGTTAAAATAAAATTTGTCACACTTTAGGGACAAACATGTTTCATTAGATAGTTGGCAGAAAAACTTGGACAAGAGTTTCGGAGTCACGAATACTCGCAAGCAGCGAGTATCTGCTACCTCGAAGGAATCAACAATCCCCTGGGAGTTCGAGTCCGTGTTACCCAGTGTTGCAGCTACAGTCACACACAGGAACGACGATTATAAATAAAGACTTATTCAGTGAATAGCAAGACGGCTTACACTTGTACATTAAATGTGGTAATGAATTCAGTCTAATGACAATGTGTGCAACTGTGAACTACAACAAATCAATAATATTGCATAATTCCATCCAAACTAGGGGACCGTCCACTTGATCAATCAGAAAATTAATGAATTCATCATAAGCGGACATCGTTTAGAGAGCCATTGGAAAACCTAGGAGTACTGGACAGCTGTTTCCTCCTAGCTTGTGACTTTTCATCAGTACACACAACTAGGGGTCGAACCCAGGACCTTCTGGTTGATAGGCGAGCTCGCAGACTATTAAGCCACTGGGATCCGATCCAATGGCCTATGAATTCCAACTTCTGCCAATTTACGACATAAGCGGTGCGAACTGTGAAGAGTCCCGAACTAGGATGAAACAGCCGTTCAGTACTCCGAGGTTTTCCAATGGTTCTCTAACCAATGTCAGCTCATAATGAAATCTTGTAACCAATCAATTGAATCCCTGAAAACTAATACTAGAAAATTTATAGTTGACATACAGATAATACATTCCTTCTTTCTGAAAAAATGGGGAGGTTTGAGATATCAGATTTAATGAAATACATTTAGCTAGACACTTTATGTGAAATGAAGCGTAAAACATTCTGGTATGAAAGTGATTTTTTAAAAGGAGTAGACAGATTAGTGAAGAGAAACTTACATAGTGAAAGTACGTGCGCACAATTTCCGACTTTCGTTACCTTAAAATACAAGTGAAATGCAATAAAAGCTCTGGTAAGTAGAATAAGGGCTATATGTTCTATTGACACCACTGAAGGATTTACTACGCTTGCGTAGTTGAGTAATGTATTCCAACTTGTAGTAAAAGTCATTATAAATTCGGATGCAGTGTATAGTGAAATACTGATTCAAAAGCTACACAGGGTTGTCCGAAAAACCTTGAATGCGGGCAAATCACAAAATACGTTTTTCGACCTTATCTTGGTGCCTAGGGCATGAATTACCTAAATAAACCGTTCATTGTATTTATCAATTCGACCGCCTCTTTGATGCTAGTTAAGTTGGTCATTTAGTTTTCTTGGCCCGAGAACACCTTCCACCACGGTGAGTCAGAGGTGACATAAAGACAATAAATAACTGCAAACTAGCCGAGTCTAGACCACAAGTCATTTTTCATCAACCATCAAGTTGCTACCAACTTGTCACCCGACCGAAAGCTGCTACCTTGATGTGGTGGTCGGGCTTGAACACCGCAATGACCCAACAAGCTATACTGGCTGAGACTTATGTCGCTTGAGGTCCTACCATACCAGGAAGGTTGTTTGGATAGCGGTTAGACAACGAGCAGTTACCCAACCCAATGCTATGACTCAAAGTATATCATAAAATATCATGTCGGATCGGTCGGAGCCCAGATTAACAACGACCGCGCTTCCTGCTGCCGTGTTACAGGGCAGAAGTGATAAATATGCTACTGAGACACACCAAATGAAAAAGAACAAACAAAAACAGGCCGTGTGTGACCGGCCTCAAGCAGTTATCCCCTGGGCTCTGCGGTCACACAACCAACTTCCACGGTGTGGGCAGCCGGGAAGTAACAATCGCCCTCACAATCCGAAATGCACGAGAAATCTCTCTGATCCTCGCTCATCTTTGTCTTCATCTTCATCTCTATTACCTTACCTTCCTTTTACTAATGCAACTCCTCTACTTGATGGCTCTTCACTTCCTCTTCACTGTGTGCACTGAAAACGACCGATAGTCTCGTAAAGCCACGTCCACTTTCCCCATTTCTGTTTAACTTCATCATAGATATGCTGATGGAAGCATCCTTAACTGAACTTAACGACTTAGGAATCGACTTGTTACCAGGTAATAGTCTTATGGACTTAGAATATGCAGATGACATAGTCTTGTTAGGGGAGGACAAAATGCAGTCTTCTGAATACCTTGAGCAGCAATCTTCGTATGTTTGGCATGCGATTCGCCCCTGTAAAATGTAAGATGCTGCTACAGGACTGGATTACGTCAACTCCTAGCTTAGTGATAGGGAGTGAAGTGATAGAACATGTTGACCACTTCACCTATTTGGGAAGTTGTATCAGCACCAACGGATTGATTGGTGACCAAACCTCAGCACGGATCCAAAAAGCTCGGTCTGCTTTCGCTAACTCACATCATCTCTGGCGTAGGTGTGACATCCGACTGTCAACCAAGGGAGGTGTGTACTGCTCAGCATTTCCCTCCGTCAATCTTTATGGCTCTGAAACATGGCCAATATGAGTTGAGGACATGAAAAGGTTCACTGTTTTTGATCATAGATGTCTACGATCTCTTTCTCACGTTAGGTGGCATAATAAGGTAAGTAATATTGACGTTAGGCGTAGAGTGTTGGGCAAAGAGGGAAAATCAATCGAAGAGGCTATATAGTTACATAGATTGAGATGGTTAGGTCACGTGCTGCGCATGCCTAGCCATCGCCTCCCCCGACGGTCATTACTAGCTGATATAGGTGCAGGTTGGAAAAGAGTAAGTGGTGGCCAAACAAAAACATGGCATCAATCCATGAAATCCTTGACAGTTAAACTGAGTCAGGTAGGGAGATGCAAACTTCCGGGTTGGGGCCCTCGGGATTCTAAGAATCAATGGCTGGAGACAATAGGTGACATGGCTCAAAATCGTCGTCAATGGCTTACGCAGATGTATTCAGTCTCTGTAATCTTTCATATTCCTTTCTACCATTACTCATTCTGTTTCACTCTTATACTTGTCAAAACTCTATTGATGCTCTTCACTCATTTTCTTGTCTACCTTTCTGTGCTATTTGGAACGTGGCAACTTGAACTGCTGCACTTCGGTGCCAAGTTCTATGTTGAATCCAGACAGACACAGACCAACTTGTCAAAAGTGGCTAGACTTCGGATTCTGTAAATTACGGAAGCAATAAAAATCCGAAATGTGTATCACCGACTTCACCTGTCTTGGAATTAAAAATCCGTAAGTGCTATACACATCTTTAGCAGGCCATGTACGTATGTTCCTAGCTCATATTATCTTTAGTTATTTCATTACATACACTTCGGTGTGCACGCATAAACTAAAGCTAGGTCAAGAGCTTCCTGCTGATTGGCTCCAACCATCTAACATTAATTCAAAAACTTCACAGCGACATCAAGTCTCCCAAACCGATGACTACATTGAAAATTGACTGACAGAAATGAATTGCACCACTAAAGACCGCATATGTGACACTGGTTACTCAGCAATGACTAATCCATATAAGCTTTTACAATTTACTTATAACTACTAAAATCCTCTCCTATTACTTATGCTCATTCAATTTTAATTACACATACAAAACCGTTAACCCACTGTTTTCCTAATACAATTTTAAATGACCTTCAGTCAAGCTTAGATTTATTCATATTGAGTTCATAAACTGACTGAATACACTTCCTTTTTAAAGTTAAATCACAACCATTCGTCTTTACTTATCTCAACATCACCTATGGTATTGATTCATTCTGAATTAGAAACTGGAATATTTTATTTTAACAATACGATATTATACCGGACATACTATCATGCGCGTGTTTACTTTGTAGTGAACCCGACCTTTGACAGCCAGGCTAACGTCGCGACAGCGCCAGAGGTGGCTAAAGTAGACGTATGCCACCCTAGCTTTCATGATACGGCTGGAAATCCCGTCCATAACACCTCCGCCAGTACTCACACAACTACCCGGATACACGAATTTATCGACAACTCCAAGCGGTTCACCTGCAAGAGTCAGTGCAGGTACCGGCTCTTGCCAATCTTGTAACACTACCTTGCACTTTGACGGCACAAAATACATACCATACTTACAGACACAGATCGCCAACTGATTAAGTGCAATTCGGCCAGCCCGCATGCCATCGCACAGTAAGACGATATCATCTGCATACTCGAAGTCGAAAAGTCTTTCTCCAGGAAGCAGATCTACACTACCACCACTACGCACATCCTTCAGAGGTGACTCTAGAATGTCATTGATGACAAAGTCAGAGAGAAATGAAAAGATTACGCAACCCTAACTAACCTCACTGTTGGTTGGGAACAGTGATGATAGCTGGTTGTATGCCCTCACTCCACCTGAGGTATTTCTGTATAGGGCTTTCAGGATATTAACTTTTCAGGTACACCCGTCCTCTAAAAGACAGTTCCAGAGAATAGTTCTATCCAACGAGTCGAAGGCAGCCCTAATGTAAAGAAACACTACGATTGTTGGCCTGCAGTATGTATGACGATGTTCCAACAACTGACAAGGGGTGAACACATGACCAGTGCACCCACGGCCTGAAAGAAACCCAGCCTACTCTTCGCGAATCGAATCCTCATGTGTTCGGCACAGCCCGTGAAGCAAAACAGCTGCCAATATTTCAGACGCAATCGGTAGCAAACTGATATCTCCCTATGGTTGTCGCATGTGTTACGTCGACTCTTTTTAAAGATGGGGACGGTGGTGGCTTCATCCCACACTGATGGCACATCCTCAATTTCCCAAACTTTCTTGAACAAACCGGTCAAAGCGACGACCAGAATCTTGCCACGATCTTTAAAAAGAGCAGGGAGTAAATTGTTTGGGCCAGGTGCCTTATAGTGCTTCAACACTTGGAGTTTCTTCTGGACAGATGGACGGATGAGCTGGAACAGCTTCCGACCGTTACCAGATGCATCTGCTGGCTCCATCTCACACGCAAATTCTGACCACTTGGCTTCGCGGTCTTTACGCAAACATTGTTTAATCTTGCGCGTAAGCGCCTTTCGCACGTTGTTGTAATCGCCACCTGCCGGAACGGACCGGCTTTCATCCAGGAGTTTCAACGTACTCACAAAAACCCAGTGGTTTCTTAGCGGAGCATTCTTTTAAGCCACAATCGGCTTCACTCGCCATTTGCATCGCGCCTTGCAGATGTAGCCAATGTTCATCTCTACTACTTGGTGGGTAAATAGCAAGCTTTGATTGTAACTCAGACTGATATTTCAAAGTAGTAGCAGGTGCTACCAGTTTGCTCACACCAACACGTAGATGACAATGTTTATGAACCCAGACAAATCGCAAGAAAAACCTGGCAGACGCTAAAGCATGATCGGAGTCCAGGCATGTGCTCCAGAAGGAGTGGCAGTCCTGTACGCACCTCGCCTTCGGAAACTGACAGCAATATGATCAATCTGAGTCCAGGTTTGATTAGCAGAGAAAGGAAGCACTACGACGATGGCTGTACCGGAAGTTGATGCTCGCTAAAAATAGGTTGTGATCTGCGCAAAACTGCAGAAGACGGTCCCCATTATCTGACCTGCGACTATGTAAACCCCACTGACCACCTAGACGGTTCTCCTCTGCGTCTAAACACCCGACCTTTGCATTCAAGTCCCCAGCTAGCATGACGATATCTCTCTGACTTGCCTCTTCTAGGATATCGCTCAGTTGGCAGTAAAAGTCATCCCTAATTGCATCCAGGCTGCAATCCGTTGGTGCATATGCAGAGACAACAAATAGGCACCGCCTATCTGGCTTACCGCTTCTTACTCTCGTATAAACTTTCAGTCTCACAGCACATAAACGACTGTTAATGGGGATCCAGTCAAATAATGTAGCTTCGGCTATAGTGCTTAGTGCGACACCAACACTATCTACTACCCTGAATGCCGACGCAACAGGGTCCCCCGGATAAGCGCACATGGCACATACTATTCGAACTTCCAGATGTAGAGGATCATCGAAGCACTCCACTGGGATCTTGAATGCGGGTCTCCGAAATGCAACAGACATCGGTAGCGAGGCTTTCCAATGTTCGCACCAAAATTGCCCGGTGTCCGATTTGCATCAGTGTCCAAACATTGTAGGTGGGAAGCTTGAACGCGGCATATGGTTTCAGGGTATCTGTGTTAGGTGTCACACTGGGGACAACCATTTTGAAGGCTACTCACTGACATCTCGAAACGGCGCAGATGGACTGGGAATTAAGACAAAGGCGAAAGGCTGACGGAAGTGAAGACTCCAAGGATGGCAAAAGTAAAATACGGGAGTCTATGTATGAAAATAAAAATAAGGCTGAAAAGAAACGCGTCAATTAAAACATCATTGTGAAGAGCGTGAGATTATTTTCACTGATAGTTGTTTCATTTCGCTGATTGTCCTGTTTATGCTGTTTAACGTATATTGTAGAGGATTAGAGAAACCTTTTACCCTTTGAAGGCTGTTGGGAAGTTCAATATCACGTTAGTATGGTACTACTTGTTTGCACGTACGTGAAGACAAACGTATGCTATGTTTAAGTATCTAATTTCTTTCTGAGGTTGGGAATATAAAGTTGTATACTTGATGTTCAATGTACTTATTGTTTAGTAGGTAGTCGGTTACTTAGCAAGCACCAGGAAAGGTGCAGTGGCAAATAACATAAATGTATTTCGTGTTTGTGCTGCGATTTAGTCAGTAACCATTCCACTAAATTAGGTACAACTTCCTAAATAAGTGATTTAGTCAATACTTTTGACTTTCCCCTCCCTATCTTTAAACTCAATTTTCAAAGACAATTCATGTAGCACCACCTACCACATAATGGGAATGACATACATGTCAAACATACTGAGACTTATGCTCGAAATTTCCAGATGACTCTACATTTTACCAATGCCAAACAGATAATAGAAAGCCAGAACAAACAGCTTGATTGTCAGGTGTGAAACTCTAAAGGCTGACGAAAGTGAAGACGCCAATGATAGCCAAAGTAATACACAGGAGTCTATGTATGAAAATAAAAATAAGGTTGAAAATATATGCGTCACTTGAAATTTCATTTTTACTGGAGAGCTTTGTAAAGAGTGGGCGAGTAGTTTCACTGATAGTTCGTTGTTTCATTTCATTGATTAAACTTATCTAACTAATGTGGACACATAGATGTAGAATCCTAAGAGGAGGTTACACAGAAAAGCATTTTTGTTCGAAAATCTATGCTTTGATTATCATAGAAAAATTACGAACCAAGCCTAGTATATTCACTTTTTTAACTTTGTACCAAATAAGATATTAACACAGATTAGAATACTTAGCACTTTAAGTGTACTTATGATAACTAATCATCACCAGTTTGAGTAATTTATGATCGGAAATGTTTTTAAGATACTAATAAAAGTGATTTTGATGCTCACTAGCTTAACTTAGTGAGCTGATGGACTCCACAGGCGACTAGTATCATTGACGGTGTTAACTGACCTGCTGTCTCCACTAACCAACACATTCACTGGCATGACGCAGCACACCGGTGCATATAACGATAACAGTGTTTGACATCGGTGAATGTGAGAATATTCATACTAGATGGTTGGAGGCGATCGGCAGGAAGCCTTGGATCTAGGTTTCGTGCTATTTGGCACTCATCAGCAAGGCGTATCTGCAGATAGAATTCAGTCTGCACCAAACAAAGAACTAGACACATTGCACCAATTACTCACTAGTGTCCAATCAGAAAATTTGAGAATATCTTGTAATAATCATTCCTCAAGTTCACCTAAGAAAACCTTTTTACTTCCTCTAAATAACCAAGTCCGGTCGTTTTCTCGGCATCACCCAACCAGAAAAGCCACTGCAACAACACCAATCCAACGCCTTCATTAAAACATTCAAATAATAGTACAAAATGAATATCAACAAGAATATACCCTGGTAACAGACAAGCCAGACCATCAGTCTCTGAAGTCAGTTAGGGTTGAGTCCAGCAGTACATCTATGATGAAATTAAACACGAATTGAGACAGTGGACATTCCTGACAGTCACCACTGGTTTCCATCAATTCATATGACAACTTGAATTCCGCCTTTAGATAAAGAAATATGGCAATTGTTGGATGCCGGTAAGTATGCCTGCGTTCCAGAATCTGTCAAAGAATAAAGATATGATTTTGAAACTGCCTACTACTTACTGTTTATTCTATATTTTGTATATTTTTATTCATTACATCCTCACTATATTTCTTTCTTCAACTTCTGTGTCTGAAGTCTGGAGGCATGAAGTGATGCACTTTTCTTAGGGTCATATGTTAATTTTCTAATCACGAAATGTTTTTCTGAAGAAGAGGCACCAGCATCAAGTTTCGAGAATTATATTTTCTAAACAAGGAGTGGTGGTGATTCTCCATTAAAAGTGAACATCAATTGCCAGCTAGTCTCGAATATACTAAGAACTTATACAGTTACAGGATACTTACACAAAATGACGATGAAATGAAACCGAAGTATTTATCTTTAGGAGGATAACCACAAATTCAGGCATAAATTAGAGTAGTACAACGCAACCTGAGGTATCTAAGGTAGATAGTCACCGAATGAAGGGAAAATTATTTACATTTTCAGGATTAGTCAAATTTTTAGACAACTGATATGTGTTTTGTGTTGAATAATCAAATGAAGTGAAGTGCAATCAGTGTTTATTTAACAATGCAGTTCTAAACCTATGAGAAATTATTACTCATGAATATGTGTTTCTACCAGCTGAAAATACTTCGCATTTAAGTTTCTTATATTTCTGAAGATTGTCGAATACCACTTCATGAAAACAAAGCAAATATATATAATTACTACATTTTTTTATCGTTAAAAGTACGTTACTACTTGCTTTTACACAGGAAATGATACCTTTCTGCTTTTAAACTGCTAACATAACCTATCCGGGGTCCACGTTAAGGTCTTACGGAATTACCGTCGTTTTTAGATGTGCAAGCAGGTGAGACAGCTGGTTAATAAGATAAACTTAAAGAAATACCACAGATCAATAATGGAAAATCAGTAACTTACAACAATTCGTATAGAACTGAAACACTCAGTACAATATATAATGCCATCAGACTGTTTCGGTGGAACATCATCAGCAATGCAACCATCTAAATGTAAAGTTCCAACATTTTTATCAAATGCATGGGCTAAATTCGCTTGGAAAAGTAAACTAAATTTTTGCTGACAGCGTGCACAGTGTGCTGAATAGGGAGGAAGTGATCGTAGAAACCGATTTATCATATCAGGACCATTAAAGTTACTCGAAGTCGGTGCTCTGTGGAAACTAAAAAGCCATTGGAAGGGTAACCTGCAACGAGTACAATGTAGAGAAGCAGACAGACGTCGTTGTAAAAACGTTCCTGCTTTACCAAATAGTCTAAGATCACTCATTATTAGGTTTTGCGTACCAGGTGTGGTTAATTTGGAAGAATCGGACATATTTGCATACAACATTTTGCTTTCATTTATTGAAGGGTAAGTATTTTCAGGGTCTGCATCACCTTCATCATTGTCAGTTGATTTTAATACAAACTCATCAGTTTGTGAATTAGCTTCATCTTTGTGTGATGAATGACTATCAGCGACTGAAGTGTCATCGCTTCCCTCGTCATCACCATCATTCAAGTTTTCTTCTGCTGGAACTATAGGATGAATAAAATGTGTGTGACTATAATCGTCCAGTGATGAAGTCTTTGAAGAAATCTCGCTTTTGACTTGATCACAGATAAGATGATTATTTCTTTCATTTTTTAATACATATGAATTTGAATAAGTTGACAGGCAGTTACCAGTTTCATTAAGTATAACTTTATCGTTTTCAAAAAATTCCGTATTATCTTTAATTTGCGACTTTTTGTTAATAATCAGGTTTCGGTTTATTTGTTCATCATCTATAATTGATTTGCCAGATACAACAGGTGGTATTAAACCAATGAGATTATCATCGACCAACGATGAAGTACTTTTACACTTCTGATTTTCTGTGTATTGGCGCTGGCATATATTATGTTCACTATCTTCAGTCGGCACTGCACTCAAGCTCTGACCAAATTCTCCGCTCTCCAACAGTGCTTTGTACTATAGAAATACAAAACGATTAAAGATTACTTCAAGGATACCAGTGTTTTAGTGACAATATCACTTAACACGGGAACAAAAAGCTCGTACAGCTATGGGGATAGGGTAAAATTTGTCACAACGTTCACTGAATCGAATGAAAGCAAAACTTAGTGACGTTCGCACCTGAAAACGTACAATGAATATACACAGACGGTACGTCGGGAGAGGAGATAATAATACTGACAGATGTCAACTGAAAATGACTGACCGGTGAAATTCAATAGCTCACATTAAATGGTAGCAGTAGTAAGACCACTTTGTGCTGAAGAAAGATGTATTTATAAAGCCACTATATGTATTCGTTATTCTTTATTAAGTAATTTCACTTCCTTTTATAATTTTTTGAAAAATTCGCGAGATCGTTAAAGTTATTTGACATGACATCGCTGAATACTGTGGTATAAATAGTGCGATATCAAATGGTAAGAGAAGCTAATCGGTAGACTTCTTGACACTTCATAGTAACTTCATTTGTTGTATTTCTACCTACTATCTCTTTTTATGCTATCAGGCAGTTTGACTGTTTGTTCTGGTGTACTTCAGTAACAAGTGTGATACTGTCCCGTTTATATATCTACAAATACTTTCAAACATTTATTTTAAACGGCGTTCGGATATCTATAGCTTGAATGCCAGTTTTCTAAATTCTGACTCCTATTCTTTTCAGCTTCATTGATTATAGCTTCCCTACTATTTTCAAAGTTTGGTGATTAAAATACTGTTGACAATATTACAAGAATTTTACAAAATAAAGAGAAGTATTTAAAAGATTACTTTACGTAAGCCTTCAGTGAACATTTCTTCCAGATTACGATCAAGCCAAAAAAATAAAGGTCGAAGATAAGGTTCTATTCGTTTCATTCGTTCGAAATATTCATGTTTACATCTGATCCATGACTCGATGGATTTATTCAAATGTCTGTATAAAAAACAAACATGCGTAAAACAATGTATTCTAACTGGAAGTGGTCTAAATTACACAAAAGTGCACAGATTTTTACTTACTCAACTAAAACAGTTGGTAAATGCCCTTGCATTAATACTCTGACCTGAACTGGTTCTTTTGGATACATATTTGGAATGGTTATATTCAACACAATTTCACGAACATCATAAACCTAAAAGGGGAAAAATGCAGTGACGTTACATTACGGAAAACTCCAGTGAAAAACATCTGAACATTTTTTTCAACCACTTATTAATTGATAATGAATTAAAAAGCGAACAGTAAACACGGTAAAAATTATAATTGTAATTTAACCAGTGCGTGAGTCCAACATTTTCACTATCAGAAATATGTGAATGTGAACAAGAAAATAATAGGAACTAATCCTGTTTTGACTAAATCAACTAAGTTTCAAGAATTTCTGAATTGATGAATAGAGGATAATAATAATAACTCTCAGGATCTCCACCTACGCCTCAATCAACTGCAGTTCAAACGAAATAAAAGTTGAGTTCCATCAAAAACCGTCTAGTTTGCTGCGAAAACAAAAACGCTCAGATATAGTCGTTTTAGCAGGCGACTTCAATGTCCAACTAGGGAAGGTATGCCAGACTGAGAAGTATGTTAGTGGTACCTATGGAGTTCCCTGCCGACGAACCGACAGTGGTGATCGTCTTCTAAAGTTCTGTTCATATAATCATCTGTTCCTGTTCAGCACTAACTTCAAACACAAAGAGGGAAATTGCCTAACCTGGCGACTTCCATCACCAAATCAACGTTGGACTCAAATAAACGGCATACCGATAATCTGTCGTTGGCGAGGGTCCAGAGAAGATTATCGCTCCTTCTGGAACAAGTATGTAGAATCCAATCACACTCTGGTTCGCGCACGTTTATGCTTACAACGAACAGACATGGAAAGCAGACAGCAATGAAACCGTTAAGCCCTGAAACTTGATCAGGACAATGAGTCCCTATTCACGGGAGAAACAGCGAAACGAGTACCTGAGGTTAACAGCAAAACCCCTCCTTAGGAAGTCTGGCACAATATCTAGTCAGTTGTAGATACAGCTGTAAAGGCTGTTAATAGCTTAAAACCAAGGAATAATAAATGACAGTAGATTTCTGCTACTGTATACGAAATGAGAGATGCAAGAAGACCGATTTCAGCGGGCTCCGAATATGATGAGGAGTGAAAGCTGCTCAAATAAAAACTGACGAAATGTCTTCGCAACAACTGTGAACTGTAGTAGGCGATATAATCGGAAAAGCTGGAAAAGATATCCGCGACAGGCAACACCAGACAACTGTTTAGGCTTATCAAGCACACAGGTGGTAAATAGCGTATGATAGTAGAGAGAATCTCTGGGAAAAATTGCACCATAATTAGCTCTTGGCATAGAGGACTAGAATGTTGGAAGGAACATTTTGAGGAGCAATTTAATTGGCCTACAGCCACGCTTAACCTGCTCATAACTCAAAACCTACCTGAAACGGATGTAGATAACAGTCCTCCCTCTGAAACTGAGGTTACGAAGGCTGTCTCTAATTTGAAACGAGGTACAGTAGCAGAACTTGATGAAATGACTCCAGGTGTTTAAGAACGGTGGTGAAGAATATGTCGTCTGGGTTTACTGAGGTGTTAGGCAATGTGTGGGAATCAGACAGTCTCGTTGGACTGATGTAAGTCGTTGATTATCCCATTATACAAGAAGCAAGACAAATCTCGATGTGGTAATCATAGACGCATGAAACCGACTTATAGGGAATTTAAAGTCCTACGATTAGTAATCATCCGTAGACCAAGTGGTGCTTGGGAGAAACAAACGCGAGAAGACCACACAGGCATTAGACTAGAAAGATGATATATTGATCATAACCTCACCCTTCGACAAACTCTGAAACACAGGCAAGCTTACCGGCATCCAACAATTACCATATTTCTTTATCTAAAGGCGGAATTCAAGTTGTCATATGAATTGATGGAAACCAGTGGTGACTGTCAGGAATGTCCACTGTCTCAATTCGTGTTTAATTTCATCATAGATGTACTGCTGGACTCAACCCTAACTGACTTCAGAGACTCATGAATTGACTTGTCTGCTACCAGGGAATAATCTCGTCGACTTAGAATATGCAGATGATATAGTCATTCCACCTGGGTGAAGATGCTGGCGAAATGCAGAGTTTTCTGAACACCTTGAGCAGCAATCTTCGTATGTTTGACGCATAATTCGCTTCTGTCAAATGTAAGACGATGCTACAGGAATGCATCGACGCCCAGCTTAAAAATAGGGAGTAAAGTGGTAGAGCGTGTTGACCACTTCACTTATCTGGGAAGTTGCATCGGCCAGCCCCAATAGGCTAATTGCTGACGAAATCTCAGCACGTATACTGAAGGCTCGTTTGGCATCCGCCAGTTTACGCCGTCTCTGGCGTAGACGTGATATACAACTATTAATCAAAGGATGTGTGTATTTCTCTGCAGTCCTCTTCATCCTCTTTTATAGTTGTGAGACATGCTGGCCATTGAAAGTGGAAGACATGAAAAGGGTGGCTAGCTGCCTTTGATCATAGGTATCTGCATTCTATCTCCCGTGTTAAGTGGTATAATAAGGTGAGCAATATTGAGATGAGGCATCGGTCGATTGCTAGGTAGGAGGGGAAACCAATCGACGAGGCTGTGAAGTTACATCGATTGAGATGCCTAGAACATATGTCAGGCATGTGTATGAAATCTTTTTCATTTAGTTTGAGACACTAATGGAGGTGTAAACTGTGTGGTTGGGGCCCTCAGGATCCTGAGAATCATTGACTGCAGGGAAATGGTGATATGGCTGGAAATTGTACTCAGTGGCGCAGATGCATTCACTCTTTTTGATCTGCCATATCCATTAAACCATATTGTTTTCCTATGTTACTATTCTTTCTCCTTCACATTTCTGCTTATCATTGTTTTTTTCAAATCTGTCTTCATTTGTGTGCCGCATGAAATGTGGCAACCCAAACTGCTGTACTTCTGCTCATATTTGTGTGATGAGACCAAAGAGTCAGTCAGCGATGAATGCAGATGCATATCTATGTCTCAGTCACGAATTCTATATCAGCTGAAACAGCACAATACTGGATAGTTAATTTGCGCAAATTAACTATCCAGCTCAGAAAACAACCACATCAAAATCATCCACCTGAGCTACAAATCTTCTCTATCATATCTACAGCACAATACGAAGAACATCCACCAAATCTAATTATTTTCCTCAGGATTCGGAAACCTAATGTTACTAGAATAGAAGCACTACCAATACATTAGAAAGGGATGATAATGTTTATGCTGTAGGCGGACTATAAAGTCTCAACTACACGCACTTTTCAGATAACTATTCATTGGAGACTTCAGCTGAATATTATGAATAGATCTGCCGATTTTAACAGCAACTATACAGTCACAAAACGTGCCCCTGAAGGTAAAATCTAGCACGAAATCTCATTTTGTGTAGAGGTACTGGTCAGTCGGACTCTTCTACAATCAAAAGCCATGCTCTTTTAAACAGGTTTGCATCAGTTAACTGATATTAGGATGATGGACTGATGTCTGCGACATTTTTAACAATTTGGTGGATTATTCTGTGAAAGGTTAAACTCCCAATTGGGAAATAAACTAGTGCAGCTAACAAGAATACGACTTTCATATACACAGATATAAGCCACTAATATTGCTAGGGTTGGCTACAAAATCTAGCAACCCCAACATTCGTCGATACTTAGAGTTTAGAAATGATGACACCCTGTTCATAGTATGTAGATCAAAGCTGTGAACAAAATCATAGTCCTCTTCTTCCTACTACTGCTACCAATAATAATAAAACAATCGACATACATTTTTGCAAAGTTTGAGGCTGAATTGACTGACTAACTGGTTTCAACGTAGAACTTTGCACCGATATGCAGCAGTTCGAGTCGCCACTTTCCCTCCATGTAGCACGCAAAGCAAGAGCAGAGAGTAAAGAACGATTAAAGAAAGATAAACAGAAATATGAGGCAAAAAGAATAGTTATATAGAACAACAACAAAATTCCATTGGATATTCTAAATCATAGAGTGGATGTTCTGCGCCAGCAACTGAGAACGATTTTGAGCCATATCACTAATTGTCTCCAGCCACTGGCTTTTACCATTCTGAGGACCCCAACCAGGATGTCTACACTTTACTACGTGGCTTAAACTAACTGTTGTGAATTTCACCGACTGATGCCATGTTTTCGTTTGACCACCACACTAGTTCTTTTCCAACCTGGACCTATGGCAACTAACAAACATTACCCCTCGAGGAAGGCGATGCCTAGGCATACGTAACACATGTCTTAACCATCTCGATCAGTGTAACTTCACAGCCTCGTCGATTGGTTTCCCCTCCTACCTAGCAATCGACCGATGCCTCATCTCAATATTGCTCACCTTATTATACCACTTAACACGGGAGATAGAATGCAGATACCTATGATCAAAGGCAGCTAGCCACCCTTTTCATGTCTTCCACTTCCAATGGCAAGCATGTTTCACAGCCACAAAGGAGGATGAAGAGGACTGCAGAGCAGTATACACGTCCTTCGATTAATAGTTGCATATCACTTCTACGCCAAAGATGGCGTAAACTGGCGGATGCCAAACGAGCCTTCTGGATACGTGCTGAGATTTCATCAGCTGAGTTAATTCATTTTAGAGAAGCATTGTATGCGAACTATACTTTAGTTAACGAAATCTTGAACCTATGCAAATTGTAATGGTTAAGCAAGGATATTTGAAGGGTAAATTGGAAAAACGTTGAGGGTGACCACCATAGACAGTGATGGCTTGTCAGGGTCATGCAAGGAATTGTGTTTGAACTTGGATGTACAATAATGTTCCGACTCAGTTATCTAAAACATGGCTTTGTCTATAAGGCTACCAACCAGAAATGATGTCAGGGCTGATGAAACTAAACAGATATCCAGATTAAAATACGTGGAGAGAGATTCGAACCACATGGCTTAAGCAAATGAATTATAGCTTCATATGAAAAAGTGGAATTCTATGCTTCTGACTCCGCATGATGATACTTCTGGGAAACATCTCAATGTGGACCGTAGGAATTTATTCAGGCCGGTGAACTGGAAAACTATGCTGTCAGAAATTCAATCTATGGTCAGTCGATCCTCATTCGTAAGATATGGCGCCAGCTTTTAGAATGTTATACTGAATATGCTATACGTAATTCTATTTATAATCGGTCTTAAAATCTATAAAATATACGACCAAAATCCTGGAAAGCCTACTATGGCACGAAGTCACATAAAAATGCAACAGTGGATGATAAATCTTCAGTTCTTGTTCACAACAGAAAATTTATCTAAACGTTAATTTACAGAGACGTAAAAATAGTTTTGGTCAAAGTCGTCATTCAATTTTCACTCAGCATTAGTAAAAAATCTTACCCAGTCTGGATCACTCGAAGAAAACTTGATGCAAAATATGTGACAGTCCTTATTCGATTCCACTTCACATAACTTATCTGTAAGGAAACGCTTCTTCAGCCATTCAATTTCAAACTGATTTAGCGAATAAACTTCCTCTTTTGAGGCACTCTGGAGACTAAGCATTCTCGCAGACCCAGGTTTTATGCAGGAATATGCAGCATTATTAACCATATTCCCATTACTCGTGCAATTAGATAGTAAAGTTCTTTTTATACTTGACAATTTAATAAGTATTGGGGATGAAATTGCAGAAATGTTGCTTTCGGAGCTATATTCATTTGGCTTACTATTTGGCATAACAACATCCTCGGACTCTGAAAACTGACTACCGATAGACAGTCCTGCTAATTTTTTCGCAGCCCGATATTCTTCTAACGTAACTCCATTATCGTGATGATTATCAACATCGTGAGAGAAACTACACTTATCTCCGTATTTGCACTGGTTATTTGCAAAGAACTGACATGGTTTTTTCAACAAGCTAACATTAGTTGGTTTGACGGATGGATCATGCCAAAAATGACAGTTGTATCCATAGGGGCACCACCCATCGGCAGCGAAAGTACGACAACGAACTTTTGGATGTACAAAAGTGCAAATGTCTCCATTTCTGCAACAACCCGCCTGGTAATAGTGGCAAACAGGTGTGTAAGGCATCTGAGCAATTAGAAACAAAATATAGTAGCATTAGAAAACTTACATAAAAAGCCTAAAATGCACATAAGGCGAAAAATCAAGTAATTCATAAATCTGCATTTAGATACTTAGAAAAAATAAATAAAACGAAAGGACAAATACAAGTCATTTCCAATTGGTTCATCATCAATTACTTCATATAGCTTTCTAAAATGATGCATCGAAATTGTACAAATCATATGGTAATGTACTGCTCAGCAAGAAGTATCAATCACGTAGTATAGAAGTGCTAATGACGACAGCAGGAATCAGGACCAGTTAATTAATAGCAATCAGCAACAACCTGCATGTATGTTTACCAGTACAGTTGCTCATAGGGAGTCCGTTACACGTGTACTACTAGGAAAGTTCACTGTTGTACTTTCAAACCTAAAAGCTACACGCAGCTAAACACTAGCTCACCTCATGGGTACACGATATTAAGTCTACAATAATAGAGCTCTTAAAGTTATCGCATTTCGTCTGACCCTCCTCACACTACATGCGTGTCACTTCTGTATACGACAAAGGTGATGGGAATCCATCTGAACAGGCCGAATGTGTTAATGATAATAACTGATTAGTCAAACGACGAACATCTATTTCCTATGTAAAAACAATGACACTTTTCCGAAAACAAATTAGTGAGAACAACCTTAAGACACACCAATATCGGATAAAAATTACTTCGGAATTAATCTTAACATGCAGAAACGGAACTAATTTTCTGCAACCTAAGAGTAATTCCACTGAATAACATAAAAAGTCAGTGAGGTCGAGATAATTTTAATTCAGTAGACTGATGTCATTTGGTTGTGCGTCTGTGGTTCAGTGGTGGAGTGCTCGCCAATAACTACGCATATGTTCCATGTTTGATTCTAAGCCGGCGCACTACCAATCCTTGTCCAGTTTACTGGTCAGCAGGAAGCACGGAAAGAGATAAGGTTGAGCGTGAAACTGGTAATTTTACTCAGTAAAGAAGACAACACAACATACTGAAACTCCAGTTCTTCAAGCCTGAAAACCTGTTTCACTCGGAGTAATGAAAAAATAGTGATTTGGTATTTGAAACGACGGGTGATCAGATGGAGTCCCCGTTAGAATGCTGTTGCTAATTGAAGGTGTATGTATGTCGGGCTAACGAGTCATAAATAGGACGGAACGTGATTCCTAAATTTCACCTTTAACCATCGATGGTTAGTGATCACCTAGTAAGGTTAATACTTATATACGATACGAAGGCCATTTGGATTGCATTTTATCATATCTCAAGCGTCTGTCCCACCTTTGACTATCACACTTACCTCATACAAATAAGAGATGGTTAAATTCATACTAGAATTCTTTTCATTCATCAATCCGTACGGAAGTTCTCAGGTTAAGGTGACACGTTTTACCTATTTTGGAATTCGTAAAATGAATTCAAGAAATGGAAACAGACTAGACATAAGCTAAAGAGACTACAGAGTGAAATCACATGCCATGAGGCATCTGAGTGGCTACACGTATAATACATGCGAACCAGTGTCTTCTGCGTTCGGCATTGCCAGTCCTCATAGAATTAGTCTAGAATAGGGTTCGTGCGGTCAAACCAAAACATGGAACCCATCCATAAAGCCTTCAACTGTTGGTTTGCGTTATGCAGGGAGCTGCAGACTGTTTGGTTGGGGTCCTGACGACGCCGTGGACTGAAAAGTAGTTTCTGTGTGGTGGATCGCATGTCCAGACGGTTTTCCAATATCCAATATCCTGATTACGAGCTAGTATAAACCAGTGATTTCTTTGAGCTCGCTTCTTGATTGTAAGGTAGAGGTTCCAGATCTTCCGTGAAATTATGCGTAGTAAATCCCGCCATTCGACTGCTTTAGCTCTGGCAGACTCCAAGAGGAGTGGTGCGAGGATTGGTCAAGATTGTGGTTTGTAGTACAGTATGTTAGGACTCAGCTGCTGCCGTGAATGGAGTTTGACCTAACACCCGTTGGTCATTCGGTGTAGTCATAAAAGTAGAATAGTAATAGTAATAATAATAATAGGTTGTAGTGTAAGATTCTCTCTGTGATCACGAACTTATGATATTTCTGAATTTACTGACCATAAAAGGATTTATTTCACATTTTGGTGGCATTATATCCGACTATTGCATACCTCGAATTTCGACAATTGACGAACTCTATGAGAAAAAGTTCAAACTAACCTTTATTTTTCTACAAGCAGTGATAATTGAATCAGCGGAAACTTGCACACACCATCAATCCTTAATACCTACACAGAATGTCGCTAGGATCACATCCCCACAACGTATATAAAATGACTACACTCGATAAAGGACAGACGATAGCCTCACAAATGGCTTAGGGAGAGGCTGAGCACTTGAAGGTCACTTATGCACACTATGATTGGTAGAGTTTCCTTTGCATAAACGTTGCGGCAAATACGTGTTGTACGTTACTGAGGCGGGCTATGAAATAACCATAATAAAAGGGGATAGACATTATATTTCTTAACTTAAGGGAACCAGTTAATATCTGTATAAATTTCATGAATGTGATAAGCATTGGATCCACTCACAAAGGGAATATTACTGGGAAACTTAATCAAAGAAGTATAAAGTTTGAAGATTCCCAGCTAGCATTTTCTTCGGGGGCACTGCAGACTTTTCGGGGCAAAAAATTTTGGGCAGATTGCCGTTTTTGAGAATTCGCCCCGAAGACTGCCCCAAAAAGTCTTCAATGCACCCGAAGTCTGCCCCGAAAAGTCTGCTATGCGCCCTAAGTCTGCCCCGAAATGTCTGCAATGCACCCGAAGACTGCCCCAAAAAGTCTGCAATGCGCCCAAAAAAATTGCTAGCTGGGTTTTATCTCTGTCAGTTGATTGTAACGGATAGATTATTTGTTATTCTCTTCTGATTTGACCGGAGGTAATAATATCTACCATATTTCTGGTGTTTGCATTGGGTCATTCCTGTCGCATGTATTGGGTGTAGACTCAATGAACAAGGATTCCGTAATCAACCTCTCTTTCCACCTACCTATGTTACTCTTTAGATTTTTAACCCTATCCCACCCTATTGTGTGGGCCAAAAGCAAAATAAAATAAAAATAATTGTGGAACTAGTAATGATAACATAAATAAGAGAGAATATAAGTCATCCACTGTAATACCATATAAGGAGGGGACATCTGAGACCCTGTTGCTGCTATATTTTGACTAAACTAGAGTACACGTATATTCTAGTATTTCTTCGCGTTTATATTTGTGACCTAACGTTGCGATTACTTGACATCCGCAACGTAATTCAAAATGCACATGCGAAGGAATACGATAGTGTATTACTGGGCAGCCTGTCGACGGCCGTAATTTTGAGTGCCCGCGAGTGAGATAAACAAGTGATTTGCTCGCTTGTGATTGGCCAGTTTGTCATTCGAGCTGCGGTAATTTCAAACATCATTTAACTGCTTGGTTAAGTTCGCAATTGCCGAGAGTGTTTTATCAAGTCGGGTGCATAATTGACAGCACATACTATTACAGCTCATGATAGATTTGATGAACCAGAGGATTTATTTGCTGAATTCAATGAATTCATCCCCTATCAAGATCATATGTAGGTTTACCGACATATACTGTTTTCCTGTCACGAAGATCGGAAAGCAGGTATCAAATGTCTCAGTAAGCAGTGTAATACATGTAGGCTACATGTTTTTAGTTGAAATAAACTGGGTCTCCATTTCCTTTCAGGATTAACCTTGAGTTCATATGGAATAAGGTAGTTGACCACATCAGTATTGCGTGAATGCAGTGAAAGTAAGTAGACACCTGCTTCATAAGATTAAGTGATACATTTAATTGATATGATTGTATAATAAGTAGTTGTCTATCTAAGTTAATGATGAATTCGTTGCGACAATAATACCTACTATTGTTTTTATAGTCACTATGAACATGAACGTTATTACTATTAATGCTGTCAAAACTCGTATTATTCGTCATAAAGCTGTTGTCACTTTGTTAAAACCTTTGTTCAAGCTTTGCAAACTATTGCATGACTTGTCGTTAAATAATATTTCATTTCATGATGCTTCGATGGACCTACTAGATATCGACCGGCGACATATTGCGAAATCCCTTGAGTTTAGTGAAAACTATTTAGCTACTTATATATATTGTTTGTGAAGTGATTACTTGTAAATGCTTATGAAGAAACATTTTTTATTCAGATCATACATGTACCACCTAATTTAATAATGCTTTTCTTAAACCTTTTCAGGCTTATAGAGAAACATATGTGCTGGTACCTACTGACAATGACGGAGGACTACTCATCTGAATTATCTGTACATCTAAAATCTAATTTTTGTTTAATAAACACTTTTTTAATGAATCTGTGTTCCTTCTGTTGTAACGCGGTTGTGTTCCAGTGACGTTAGTAACACGTGCTAAGTTAGGAATTAAGGGCGAACTTTTAGGAGTAAATGCGGTGTCTGGGAAACTGTTGTTTACGCGATTACATGAACAGATAGAAACGTACCGTGTTCTGTAGCTGCGAACCGTAGGTATTCTAATGAAGTATAATTGTATTTCAATAGTAGGCATTCTGTTTTTAATTAATACGATCACCGTAGTTGCACTGAGTTATAAATCTAACAGTATAGGTACATTATTCCCATCTTGGTTTATTACGATAAGTAGAAATCGCAAGCTCACGATCTCAGGTAGATTTACTTCTAACCTTGTTTGACTATGAATCCGAAGTCAATTAATAGGTTCCTACTAAGACGATATATAACTAAGCTCTTATAACCTCAATGTTATCTTTTACAAGTGGACGCAGTAACTTCATTACGGCACGACAGTCTATTTATCAATAAGCCTCTCCAAATATCTAATTTTACTTAGCATTTCTAAGATCACGTCATATACTCCGTACCTCACAAATTACGCAAAGCTAGAAATCAGGTTTATCAAGTAGAATATACAAAAGAATAACGAGGAATACATTTATTAATGAATAAACATGTAATACATAATCAACAACACGGCAGGTATGTTTTTCTTTTCGTCCAAATACACGAAATTCCCGAAAGTAGATATTATCTGAAAAAGAACAAAGGAATTCTAAAGATGTAGACATTGTTACCACTGTAAATGCAATAAATAACTACTTAGCATGTTTAAAATTATGAAATAATCAGTTTAATTGTATACAATTACATCAGTCAATATTTTTCAAGAAGAAAAAATGGATATTGCATCTACCTGTAAACATCAAGTATATACCATAAAATAGGTAAGTACTATGCGTATATAATTTCTAAGTATTTCTGTAGATTTACTTTAATGAAATGCATGTACAGGAGCTTTGACAGCATTAGCAAAAGTACACAACTAAGTATATCAAATAATCAACAAAACCAACTATCCCACCTCATCATTTCCATGTATAATCCTTTAAACTGCAAAAAGAACTCACCAAAAGTCGTTATAATATGTCTATTCAAGTAATTCGACGTTTTCTGAACGGATAAGTACGTAATTCAACAATTTGTAAATTGGCTGTAAATTACGGCCGGATAAGGACACCATCATTTCCTGTTTATGCTAAAAACGCCTTATTACATCAACTTTTAGCAACAATATAGGTGTAAAAGTGTGTAAAAATACGAAAAATCACCTATTTTCGAAGTTTTTTCATTAAATAAAGCCGCTAGACATCAGCTGATCAAATGACTTACGGCCGTCTACAGGCTGCCGTATTATTGCAGCAATCAAGATTCAAAAATCGAGCGAGTACAAAATGTATCAATTGTTAACATGCAAGATTTCGAGTAATAAATAAATGAAAGTACAATTACACAATGAAGGTATAGTACGATTATGAGTAATAAAACGGGTCACTACAATAGCCCCTCCGTAGGATTCTTAATAAAGCAGGAATTAGGGTGGCACTGAAACCTACAAACTCACTCAGGGACAAGTTCTGTAGGTTAAAGGACCCTGTTGACCCAATTAAACAAAATAATATAATTTACAAAATACCTTGCAATGACTGTGAAGTCAATTACATAGGTCAGACTAGTAGGTTGGGGGTAGTCAGATTATGAGAACATAAGAATTTAGCTAAGGGAAGAATGGTTGACCCTGGAAAGATAAGTAATTTAGAAAAAATCTCGGCAATTGCACTTCACACATTAACAAACAACCACACAATAGGGTGGGATATGATTAGAATTCTAAAGAGTAACATAGGTAGGTGGAAAGAGAGGTTGATTACGGAATCATTGTTCATTGAGTCTACACCGAATACATGCGACAGAAATGACCCAATGCAATTGCATTGGTATTTAAATACCAGAAATATGGAAGATATTATTACCTCCGTTCAAATCAGAAGAGAATAATAAATAATCTTAATATTCTATTTCAATTCAAGCAAATCACAACATTCTAAATAGTAACTTATTATGATTATAGAAACACTCGTCTTTGGGTGATGATATACGTTAGAACGTGTTAAATTTTCCGCGCCTCAGCTTTTCTCGTCTTTCATTGGCTGGAACAGTGGCGGCTAATTTTATATTTAATTTGTCCTAGGTAGGTGATATCGTGTGCAGTTTTGTGTGGTTGAGGTATGCGTTGTTTGCAAGCATATTTGATGAAAATAAATGTAAAATTTGAGCATTTTAACGTTTTATTTTACTTCTTTTGTGCATGTACAAGGCTTGGTTTATCATATACTCGGTTTGTTGGCCTATCGGTTGCTGGCGATGTCAAGGAACCCGTGAGTTCTCGGGCTTTTCTCAATTTTAAGTTATACGTGTAGCATTTTATTGATGGATATTGCTCAGTGATGTATTTCAATATTGCTTTTTCTACGGAATTATATTTAAACAGTTGAGAGACAAATGGATACTTATTGACAAAGCCTTTTTAGTTTATTGCAGGTAGGCAATGCGAGTGAAAGCATTGCACACGTCAGTGGAATTTTCGGTGAAGTAATGCTGGGAAGGCGTTTCTTTAGCTGGGAGGAATTTGAGAACTCATTATGAGAATTTCAAAAAGTGAGGAAGTCATTTAATGCTAACAATGTAGTTGTCCTGCACTCACTATGTGGTTGCCGCATATTACGTGGGAGAAGTAATCGCACAAATGGACCATTTTCTTAATGCGTAAATTAACTACTTTCGTATTACAATAAAAATAAACTTTTCCAATTAACATTGTTGTCTTTCTGTTCGTGTGTCCGCGTTGGGAGTACTGGATGCTAGACCGGTGCTCCATAGGATATGAATTCGTTACTATACGCAAGTGCAATTCTGTAGGAACACTATCCATCAAGTCTAAAAATCTGCCTAGAAGTACGCGATTACGTCTCTCAGTCATAGATAAATCTGTAGGGACTAACGACAAAAATACCTAACTTCAGTATTTGAAAAATAAGAATACAACTTAGGCCCTGCAGTTGAGTTCGATTTCGTATGAAGTTAAGTATAATCACAAGTAGTGTATTACTATTATTTCACTTAAAGCATGATGTCAATCCATATGCCTACGGGTGTTAACATGTAGTGTAAAATGAAGTCTACACGAGACGAGTAATTTAATAGGTTGAGCTGTAGCAATATTAGTACGATTTCGCTTACGTTGAATTATGCCTACAATTACTTTCTCAGGTCTCATTGATAGGTCAGGCCTCCATCTCGTCATAATGACAAATTTAGTTTCACTGAGATAGAATAAGAAAAGTATGGTAAGCAGGATGTTAAATATATTTAATGAAAAATAATAAGCGAATGTCTGTACACAATTGTTTTTCGTAATTACTTCGGGGATGCGTAATTGCTGTGACCAGGTTGACTGACTTCACCGAACATCTGCAAGTAAGTGAATAAAGTGCAATTTTTAAATCGTTGAAGTTAGAAATAAGTAATGTAAAAGTGAAACGCTGTACATTTTCCTACCTTTGCTGAAAAAGACTCATTCTTCCTTCTCATTCTTTGGTCATGACAGCATTCTTCTGCGGTTTTCACTGTCACACACATTGTTCCTCTTCTAAAGTATAGCACCAAGCAAATAATAATTTAATAAGTCGTATAAACGGGTGTTTACAAGGAATGCATGACATCTCTACAGGCACAATAAGTTAGGTTATGAATTGCAATCACCTGAGCTATTTTAACTGCAAACTTCATCGAAATGGATATGATCATCAGGAAATTCAGCAGATTGTCTCATTCATCGCATGCTCTCTTCGATGTGTTATGCGATATTTCAATCATCACGGATGATGATAAAAAGTGTTTGGCATCCTCTAAACGTATATTTAACTTGTGTCTGCGGGCTAGTTCTCCTTCAAATGTCTCGTTATCATAGAATAACTGCTATGAAAACAACCATTGCCTATAGTTAATTTTCCACCTTTATATCCCCAAAAACTAGCAAATAACAAACTATAACGGCTCTAAAACGCAAATAATAGTCTTTCTACGCTAAATTTCTTATATACGATGAGTTAATAATAATATATTTCACATAAATTAAGCATTTACATGATTAACATACCGTTTGTACAGGCATAATCATATTCGACAAGTACAATTTGAAATGGAACACCGTTTTTTGACATCAAAAATTGGAAAAATGGAAAAAATCCTCTAGAAACTTTGTTAGAATAGATTACAATATACTGGTTCAAGTCTAATTTATAGTCTATAATATACTTATAGTCAGTTAAATTCATGCGGGAATTACAAAATGTTGCGTTAATGGAAGGTGAGAAGAGAGGTGATAAACATGTGCTAGAGTTAGACATACAGGATACAGGCCTTGTGATCATTATCGTTTTGTCAATTAATAAGCGTTCAAATATTAAAAAAAAACAACTTCATAGTAGAGGGTAAGTACAGCATTATTTTGGTAATAACAGATACAAGGGACCAACTTTGCGATGATAAACATAATTCAGAATGGAATTTGTTCCGCGGTTCGTCGTGTGTGCCAACAATATTCTGAATAACGCTCAAGTAATACAAACGTAGAAAGCAGCATTACTGTTCATTTGCAGTGCTTCAATGCAATACCTTCTAGAAGAGAAGGAAGAAGAAAACAGAAAGAGAGGTGCAGAGGCAGCCAGCAAACAATAATAATTTAAGCAAACAATATGCGATAAACGCAGGGTTTATTCCCCTATTTTGTTACTAATAATTTAGAGTCATTGAGTTTCATAGTGTTACATGCTAACAGTTAGTTCAAGTTTATGGTGGTAAACAACAACAAAAAATATAGAATAACAAATTTGAAAAGAAAGAACAAAACGAATAATGATTTTTACACCTATATAGGATAATGGGAATAGAAAGTGAAAAAGTTAAATCCAAACGCAAATTATGTAAAATATATAGAAGGGAAGAAAAACAAAAAGAATGATGATACTTATTTATGCTGTTGTTCTGATTTATACAGTTAGATGTCCTCCTGAAGTAGAGAAATCGTACCATGAGCTTGTTTTCAAAGAGTTTATACACAAGCTTTGTTATACAGGCAGCTATTATTTTATTTTATTATTATTTTTTGAAGTCATTCACACTCAGGAACCTTAGCAATAGAGCGCATTCCCACAGATAAGGGTGGTTCTCTTAAGTCCCCACCATCATATCCGCTGAATAGCGGTCACCACCCTCCCACCTTTTAATCTGCTAGGCCCTGGCGAAATGCTCCTCTTGTTTTTAGAAGAATTTTTTATTGCTAAGTGTCATATAGACAGGTTTTGCCTTCACTAGCTAACTCAACGAAACTCATGGTATGAACGACTACTTTCAGTCAACCATTTTTGTATGCATCGTCCCTAACAGCATTTTAAAAATATAAATGTACAATAAAAAAGTAAGGAAATCAGAAATTTGCAGTCTACCTTCTAGACTTTAGTTATAAACATATGAAACGAAGGGGCAATATGAAATGGTATGAGAAGAGAAAAATACATAAAGGTACACAGTTATGTTTATATATGCATAAAAAGAGGCAGTAGTTAATTATAATAGATGGTTCAGAAGAATGAAGGATTATAATAACGAAACCGTAAAATAAAATCCGTTAATATTTAGGACTCACAGTGAAGTTAAGCTGATGTTTTGGGCGATCCTGAATAGGGCTGGAATTTGCGTAGACGTAGGTGGTATTTACTCACGACATTAGCTAGTCACCAGAGGAGATTTTAGTCCCAGCCATATCCAGGTTGTTTACTACTCAACCTTGAGATAGAACTTCCACCACACTGAACTGCCCAAAATACAGTTTTGACAGGGATATTCACCATAATATTTGATTAATTTGACAGTCAGCAGCTGGGATTAAATGGAGTTGAATCACTGAAAAGGTATGACATAAGGTGTGAGGGTAGTTCATGTAGATTCAGTGCAGCTTTCGTGGTATGTCAGGCTGAGTATTCCACTCCAGGTTTGTATGAAAGGATTGTGAATATTTTGTGATGGTGCTTGCTAGACAAACAATTGAATCAACTAAAAAAGGAACTGAGAACAGCATTAGTGCAACGTTGATTATTTTAAATGTGTCCGATAATACTGACCGTTTCTGTTAATGCTTTGGGTGAACAAAGTTGTTTAGGTACGTAATTCAAAGGGGAAAGAAACAATATCACGAATTTTCAGTATGTGGCAAACTGTTTCAAGACTGTTTTCAGAGAAATATTTATTTACTAGATAGGTGAATCGTTGTAATGTGGTGCTATTTTTGATTTCACTTGGCAAGAAGTTCCATGTTTGCCTATATTTGACTGTAAAGAAGTTGGAACGTAATTTCGTTCGACAAAGAATATGACTTAGAGAAGACCCGTTGCTGCGTAGTTCATACGTCGAAGAAGTAAAGTTAAGGTTATTATTGAGAAAGTATACTATTCCTTTGATTATTTTAAAAAGGAGAATGAGGTTAAGTCGGTGGCGCCTGTACCAAAGGGGTTCGATCTTAAGAGTTGTGCAACGATAGTTGTAGAGAACTTTCAGACTTGTTCCTAGGATTCTACTTGTAAATCTCCTTTGAACACTTTCAATCTTTAGTTTGTCCTTAACAGAGGTGCTGTCTAGGATAAATGGACAGTACTCAAGGAGGGGCTGTATGTGTGTTTTATAAAGTAACATTTTAGATTCTTGTGTTTGAAAGTTATGAAATATAAATCCAAGTAATCTCTGGCTTTAGAAACTTGGTTGGTGACATAGAGAGAATTTAAAATCAGCAGAGTAACGAAGCCCGAGGTCAAGTACAGAAGGAAAGATAGTGATAGGCTTGTTGCACATAGTTATGTGTGGTGTGATACGTAAGCGAGCTGGGCATAACAGTCCACACTTCTCCACGTTGATCTGCATCACCCACGACTTACACCAAGGCTCAATATTATAAATATCCGATTGAATTTTATGAGACAGATTTGTCGCATCTTAGGTGGTACTGTGATAGACCACTTTCAAGTCATCGGCATATAAGAAGGGTCTGTCATGCTCTATAAAATCACAGACGTCATTTAGGTATATAAGAAAGAAGAGAGGTCTTAGTACACTACCTTGAATTACGCCACTGGATATAGGAGTGGTACTAGAAAAAGTGTCGTTAATCCTAACAGATTGGGACCAACCACATATAAATGAATTACACCACTGTAAGAGATTGCCAGATATACCGTAAGCCTTAATGTTTTTCAGGAGTAAATTATGACATACTTTATCGAAGGCCTTCTTAAGATCAATATACATAATGAGCACAACGAATTTTCGGTCTGTAAATCCAGTTATAAAATCGAATAATTCTAAGTGGCAAGTCATACATGACCTGGACTTTATAAAGCCATGCTGAGAAGGTATTATTAGGTTTTCGGTCAATAAGAAGTCAGTGATCTTGTTACTGATTATCTTCTCAAGTATCCTTGACAAGATAGACGTTATATTGATCGGCCTGTAATTCTTTACATTATATTTTGAGCCGGATTTAAATCTAGGAATAATATATGTCTGCTTCCATTTGGAAGGATAAACTCCATTCACCAGGGACGTTGAGAATATCTTAAGCAAAAGGAGAGGGAGATCAGAGCCACCATTTTTAGGAAGGATGAGGGAATAGAGTCGGGTCCAGGAGTATTGGAGAATTTCAATGAACTGATTGCACTTTTTATAATATCAACAGTCAAGCATATATATGACAGTGTATTTTCTGTTACAGAGTCAAATTCAATGCATGCGAAAATATCGTGCGTGTATGAGTCAGAAAAGTGCTTGTTAAAGAGTTCAGCTACGCCTGCATCATCCTTAACAGCAACATTATTATGAAAAATGTAAGGAATGTTGCCTTGTTTTTGTTGCAGTCTCTTTTGGAAGAGTTTGCATAGAGAGCTAATTTTGCAGCTACTTTTAAGGGCGACAAGTTCTTCTTTGTAAATTTTACTGGTATTATCTGATCTGATTTTATCATATACATTTAGGATGCTAATGAGCGAGGAGAAGTCCATAGATTTATTATAGGTTTTACGGAGTCTTCTTAGCTTATTCCTGGTAGCAATCGGTATATATAGTTGATTTACACGGTTGCCTTTGGATGTATACCAAGGGATAGATTCGTTGAAGCAAACTGAAATGTTGGAGTAGAAACTGTCAAGGACAGTATCAATGTCTACCGAGGAGAAAAAGGTATCCCAGTCTTGGCAACGAATAAAAGACCGCGTTGTTTCCCACTTAGCCTTTGGAAAGTCCCTAACTTTTACTGTCCGACGACGGTCTTTGCCTGACCCATTTGCTGCTAGGTTAAAGGTGGAAATGACCGTGTTGTGGTCGCTACCAGGGAATAAAGGCCTAACTTGAGTGCTGACGCGAAGGATGTTGTGTGTGAAGATTAGATCCAAGATGTTGGATTTACGTGTGGGGTGATTCACATTTTGTGTCCATCCATAGAATTCAACCGAATTTATAAAACGATCAGTGTATTTAGGAACATTTAGCCTGTTCCACTGGATACCAGGCACGTTAAAGTCGTCAGCTATTATTTTATAGTCAAAGTTTAGGGAGGAGACGTGTTCGAAAATTTCACACAAATGGTTCGTTGTATTAATATCAGGATTGGGCGGGCGGTACATACATCCCAATAAAAGTCTTGTATTGGAGTTAGTGTTGAGTGTAACCCATACTGCGTCTGTAAGTGAGCAACCCAAATCATCGACTTCTACAGCGTGGAATTTGTTGCTAACAAAGATGAGACAACCACCACCACGTCCTTCTTCTCTGCCATGTCTAAAGTGTGTGTATCCTGGTGATTCTAACAGTCTGTCATTGAAGTCAGATGGTAACCAGGTCTCGGTAACTAACAGTACAGAAGGCACACAAAGTGAAAGTAAGGAGTGAAGGTACGGAATTTTATTGCAGATAGAACGAGCGTTTATAAGGAAAAGAGTAAATCATCTTTGATCAGTGGTAAGGGCTGAGGCAAAGTGAAGGAGATGATGATGTGATTCAGCTGAGGTTAAATGAAAATTAGATGACAGTCTGACCGGTACATCGAGTGTTCGGTCCATAAGGCCTTCGTCGTTTTCTTTAAGGTTCTGTGAAGAAGAAGAAGGTTTCCATGGTTGATCGCTCAGTTCGCGATCGCATGGAGATAGGCATACGGAAACTGGGGTATCCTGGTTGTCTGAAGGGGGCACATTTGAGAGTAAGGAAACATACTGTTTGACATCAGGTTGATTGATGGCATTACTGCCGGGTGCGGAAAAGAGAAAAAATGGTGAGGGGATTGATTAGTTGGAAAGTTGTAAAGACGGTTTTGGTGTCGGGGGAGTGTGTTTCTGGGGAAGTAGCATTCACTGGGTGGATCCCCAAGCAGGCTATGCTGAAAGTTTGGGCGATTGAGTCCATGTGGCTGTGCACCAGGAATATGGGCATAGTTATATTTGGTATTACACAACCTCATAGTAGAAGTTCGGTAGCTGCAACTGGTTGTATTAAAATGGTGAGGAAAAGAGAATGAGATAGGTTGACTAGTGTCAGTTCTGTTTGATACCATAGACGTCCTTTTGGGAGATTTAAGCGTATGAGTAATAGGAGACGCTGAATCAGGCTTGACGGAGTGTATGCCAGGCATAAGCGTTTTGTTCCTTACATTTTTATTCGGAAACTTAGAGCTAGATGTGAAGATATTGCAAGGGTTTTCGATAGTTCTAGCATGGCGAGTGAGATTTTTATTGATATCTTTTGCAGCAATTGAGTGCTTTTCAGGTTGTTTAACAACTGGAGAAATACTAGATTTAGTATTGGTAACCATATCAAGCTTCATTTTAGGGTAACTAGGTGGAGGGCTTCTTGTAAGGTTTAGGTGGTGTTTTGCATTGACATCAGTGGGGCCGGTTGTATTCTTTTGGTGATTTATTTCATCTGCTGGGATACTTTGTTTGGCACGACGCTGGATAGGTGTCCTGTCGTGAATAATACGTGAAGTAATACATCCCCCGGGATATCATGACAGTTTTATCCATTAATACGAACACAGTACTGGAAAATGTTGCTTTTTCGGCTATAGAAACCTGGAACCAGTCCTATATAATCTACTTTCACAAAAATAAAGGCTTATAACGCCTCTATAGGCGTGAACACGATAACCCATACAGTGCGCGATAATACACCACGATAACGTTTATCATCACCCGATATGTATCCATCTTCAGACATTTCTCAATACGGCCGAAGGCATTTGGAGGAACACAAACTCAATCTCTGCTTGAAAAGTTCACCTCCAGGTTCTCCGAACGGATCTGATGGTGACGAAAACTGCAAAGACTGGTCCAACACCACTACCAAAGGAGGCGAACGGATACGAATGTTGTGGATGGAGTGAATGGTAAACTTTATGGTGACTATGACGCAGTCATAAAAAACTCTACAAATGTGATTTTTTCACTGGATTGTTATTCACTCATTTTAATTTAGATATGTACTCTTTCATTCTGAGTTATTTTTAACTTGATTGATTATTGTTTCCTTGCAAATATATGCATTTATGTCGATTAACTTTGTCTCTTTTATTTATCATTTTGAGGACATTGCAGAGTTAACGAAAATGATAGGCAACGTGTTAATACTTATGTGAAATGCGTCAGTCTTAAACTGTTATTATTTCCTCAATACGTCATTAAGCCTTGCTTT